TCAGTGCCTCTTAGATCAACTGCTCATTCAACTGCTCATTCATTTATTCATTATGTATTTGCCAGGTTCTGAACTAACTACTACAACAGACACAAAAATAACTGACACAGTCTCCAGACCTCAGGTATTCTATCAACTGGGGAAAACAGGCTTATTAACCAACAGGTAGGGTACATTGTAGAGTAGTAAACACTGCAGGAATAAAGAGGTACCTGTTAGGTCTGCAGGGAGAGTTGAGGAGAGTTCACCAGATGTGACATTTCAGCTAGATCCTGAAGGATAAGTTAGCTAACATGCAGAAAGAGAATGGTTTTGCAGGCAGCAGGAATAGCCTGGAAGAATGAATAGGCAGAGAATGTTTTAGATTTGGGATCTCTGGAAAGAAGTCAGAAGACTGCCTGTGTTATAAACAAGTGAGTGGCAGAGACAGAGTTAAACAGTGAAAGCTGGAATTATCTAAGCCATAGTCCTTAGCTTCCTACCCTCTAACATACCCTAACACACACACACACACACACACACACACACCTATGCACACTTGTCCAATCTCAATGCTGTTTCCTAGTTTAAAGCTGTCATTTGACCAGTCCCCCACCCATGATTTTCCCTAATAGAGGTCTACCCCTGAGCTCAGAGAACTTTTTCCAGTGAAAATGGGAGGGGAAGCCCTGAGAAAGATGATCCATTCCATTGCTTGTTTGGTCTTGAGCCAGACACTTGCTGAGGACCCAAGTGCTTAGAACCTAACTCCTAATGCTGACATAGACTCTGGGACCTTCCTAATGGATCCTGACTGGCTCTGAGACACTCCTTGCTTAAGCATCCCAGAAAAGGAGCTAAGTAAACCAGGCTGCCATCCCTTGACTGAGGTGGAGCTACTTTCAATTCCCCAATGCCTATGAAGGCTGGCATGGGTTAATGGCAATAGTTCCCTGTTGGTTCTCTTCTACCATATGCAGTAAAGAAGACAGGCAGGAAGAAGGTTCTTAGGTCCTGTGCTTGCACAGAGGTTGGTGCTTAAAAAGTTTCAGTTGGCTGAACGGTTTGTCAGCCCTATCTGTCCAGAGATGCCCAACCATCGCCCAAATGCCTTAATTCATGGGAGTATTGTTTTTAGAGAACTCAAGGAGTCCATGGGTAAGGAAGAAGTGATTTATTTAATATTTGTACCACACCTCTTTCTGGAATGACTTGAGGCAGTGTATAGATTGAGATGATGACTTTAAATAAGACTTTTAAGGTTGAACGTGACTAGATGGTTGTAAAGATAACAATTACAACAAAAAGTATTATTTACTTCCCAGCAACACTTAATACATGTGGCTGAAAGATTCCTGGCAGAGAAGCCCAAAGGAAAAACCATTGAGTTATTCTGTGTTCCTTTTCTGATACCAGAAAATGTATGGAATCTCTTGTAGGGAAAGCATTTTCCTCAAGCTAAAACTTAATAGGAAGTGATTGTGCTTGATTCTAAGAAAGCTGAGTGATAAGGTGAAGAGTATGTGATGAAGTCAGCTAGTGTTTCTCTGCATGCAGTGCTCTTGGTCCTGTGCCTGAGATGGTAGTGTCCATGGTCACCTAGCGCCAAGCAGATAGGACCACAACAGTATTACCCTCCATGGGCCCACTTGGCCTAAGGAGAGTGAGGGAGGATGAGATGACCAGATTCCCAAAGGCAGGGAGGAGTCAAAGACCATGATTTTACAAAACAGAACAAACACCATCCCAAAGGCATAAACGAGCACGTTGCTTTATGTATCACAGCATTTGTTCATTTCATCTTAACAACAATCCTGTAGAGAAGGAATTCTTATTTACATTTGACAAAGAAAAGAAACTGCAGTTCCATTTGCTCAACACACAGACCACACAGCCTGTAAGGGGTGAAGTGGACCTTGAGTGCCTCTTTCCCACAATAGCACCCTGACCATTCAACCTGACAATTCTTCACTGAAGTTTCCATTAGAAAAGAGAGGCTAAAAAAGAAAAGAAAAGAAAGCTGACCTTCCAGCTGTGAGGGGCTGAGAGAATGAGGTGCAGGGACTTAAGGCTTTAAAGACACAACTTAACTTGGGAAAAGCTGGAGTAGATGAACCTGGGTAACTTATCAGTTGCCCTGTCAAGTCTATTTCCTGGTGTTTATCTTGAGGTTTCTGGCTGATCATAGGCCACAGTCAAATCACAAGTGATTCTCTGTAATTTGACAACTTGTGAACAGATCATGATATATAATCTCTACTTCCCTCCTTGTGAACCCTTTCCACTCACTGCCAACCCCTGAAAGTTCCAGCCCTCTTAAATGCTACTCAGAACATGCCATGCTCCTCCACACCTCACAGCCACTGGACATGCTGTATCCTTTAAGACTTGATCTCAGCTCCACCTGGAAATCTCCCCAGCTTCCTCATTCTCCTCACCCCACTTCATGTGGATGGCACCCCTCTTTGGTTCTCCCATCATACCCTGTAACACCTGATTTTTAGTGCTATATATTCACTGTAGGTTTACTCTGGTCTGTATGCTCCTTATTCATCTATTTACTCCTAGAACCTCACAGTGCTTAGCGTGTAGAAAGTGTCCTTCCAATAATGTAGTTGAACAAGCAATTCCTGGGCACTGAAATAGAGGGATCAGTAAAACATGGGCCCTTCCCTCGAGGAGCTAGAATCTGGAGAAATCTTATAAGTAATGATTAGCATCAAATATAATAAGATCTATAATATCTATGATAGTAGATTTGAGGGGATCAGAAGAATGAGAACATAACTTAGGCAAGGGATTAAAGGAAATATTCCAGAGGTAATAATCTCTAGGTTGAACCTAAAAATAATGAAAGATATTGCCAAACTAAGAAGTATGCCAGACAGAGGGGAATATGTACAGAGTCATGAAAGAGAATCAATGTTTGGCGAATCATAAGTATCAATATTCTGTGCTGTCCTTTGGAATGAAGTTTGTTTTAGATCTCAAACATAAGAGCTAAGGTGGTCACTCTTGTAGATGGTCTAAGATTTTATTGTGACGATGATTTTTTTAATCAGTCATATGGATTTTACCACAAGGCAGTGAAGTTCTGATAGTCACCTCTGGTGAAATAAAGAATAAAGTTATTTATACCTTCTGATCTGCCTTCTTCCAAAAGTGGTTTGATTTGATACGTAGTAACAGACACATCCACAATAAGACTATTCATATAGAAAGAAGCAAAGGCTAGAGATAGCTTTGTAAAGGGCTTTTCCTTCTTTAGCTCACTTGGTGCTCAGGATAATCCACTAAGGATGGGCAGTGGGTTTGATATTGTTCAGAAACCAGTATGTAGGGATGCTCTTGTCTGTTTAAAAAAAAAAAAAAAGCCAACATGGATTTTCCAGTGATGCCACATATATTTCCTAGTGTTCTGGATTCTTCAGGCTTTTCTTGCCTCATGAATGATAATCATCAACTTTTCTTTGCTATTCTTTAGAAGTGTTGTTTGTTTGAATTTCTTCACTCAAACTTTGTTCAGATTCTCTTGCCCTTTAAAACTTCTTTTTTTTTTTAAGAATTCAAGGCTTAAATGGAAAAAAAAAAAAAGAAAAAAAAAAAAATTCTCTCATGTTACTATAACAAAGGATAATCCCAGTTAATTCTTTTTTCACTAAAAAAAAGTCAGCATCCAGGCCCTCCCTGGTGGCGCAGCGGGTTAAAGCACAGCACTGAGAATCTAAAGCCGCTTCCGCATGAGTTCGATTCCCGCCTGCCCCGGAGGAGACCACATGGCGTGGCAGACCTCTCCTGACCCGCCCGCTGCTCCCCTCAGCAGTGTACTTCGTTGATCTGCCTGTTCTGTTCCCCACTCTGTCTCTGGTGAAGCCTCTCACCGCCCCTGAGCCTCTGGCCTGTACCCCAGTTCTGTATGCACAAATAAATAAATCTTTAAAAAAAAAAAAAAAAAGTCAGCATCCAACTGAAATGGAAAAAGGCACAAATGATGTAAAAATAAACTATTATAGGTTTAAAAAAATTTTGGCATCACTCCAGACTTGTAGAAAAGTTTTCAAGAATAGGACAAAGAATTCCTGACTATTTTTCACTGGGCTTTTCGACTGTCAACATTTTACATTTACTACATTTATTAACTTATTTTTGTTAACTGTTGTTAACTACTGTTAACATTATATTTGTTTTTTCCTTCTCTCTCTTGTACCTCTCTCCATATATGTGGATATATATACAATGCATATTACATACACATTTTATATTCATAAACATTATATATATTTAAATATATTTACACATACTAATGTTTTTGTAGCCTTTTAAGAAAAAGTTGCAGACATCAAGTACCCTTACGGAAACATAAAGACTTCAGTATTTCCTAGAAAGGAGATTTCTCTTACATTCATACTGTTATCCTGTATGTGTGCCCTTCTAGGCTTTTTTCTATGCATATATTTATGTGTCCAAATAATACACTGTTTTACTGATTTTTCTTTCTTTATGTTTACTTATAATGGCCTGCATTTTCTGAGGGATTGACAATAAGTATTGCATACAGCATCATGCCAACAAATATTCTACAACACAATTCTTCATCAGACTCTGACTTTAGTCCTCAGGGATTGCTGGGTGGCACAGCACTTTAACAGGACGCCGGAATCCAGAGAATACACTGTCCTTGTGCTCTTGGATGTCTAGTCAGATGTCAGTGGAAACCACTGAATAGATGAGTAAAGAGGCAGGATAGTGGGAAGCCTTGAATGCAAATTTAATCTTTCGATTGAAGACAGTAGAGATCCTATGAAAGGTTTGTAGTGGGGGAGGAAGCCAACAAGAACTGTGTTTTCTGGAGATTAATTTGACAGTGTCTGCAGAAGGGAGTAAAGGAGGAAGAAATAACAACAGAAGTTCATGAGTCCCCTGGGTCAAATGATCCCTAGTTTCAAGGGCAGACCTCTGCCCAATAGAAGAGCGCATTCTCCAGCATAATGCATCCTTTTCTTTCACGTGTCTTTCAGAACTGGTTAAAATCATATGGCTATCTGCTACCCTATGATTCGCGGGCATCTGCGTTGCACTCAGGGAAGGCCTTACAGTCAGCAGTCTCCACTATGCAGCAGTTTTACGGGATCCCAGTCACCGGTGTGTTGGATCAGACAACAATCGAGTAAGATTTTCATAGGACACTGTGCCTTTGACCTTTCCAGACTTACACTGGGGTTCACATTTGTCATATCCTCATGTATACACCATGTCCATCCTACCTTCTTATCTTTTACTACTACACTGTCATCCTGGGAGGGGATATTCCTATGTGAGCTGGGGATGTGCTCTGCATTAAACTTGCATAAACTGTGTGACCATGGACAAGTCTCTTAACTCTTCTGGGCCTCAGTTTCCTTCTCAGCACAATGAGGGGTTTGGTTATAGATGGTCTTAAATCTCCTCTGACCCCAATAATGTGTGGTTCTGAGTCGCCCCCCTATATTCCATGTCCCCTCTTACTTGACACAGATCACTCTTGAATGATAATGAGTTGTAACTCTTATTCCACCTTGTCCATTTAGCCAACATTTGCTGAATGCCCAGTTGCCAGGTGTCATGCTTAACCCTATGATCCCTGCCCTCCAGAGGCTCACCATTTAGTAAAAGACACACCATCTACACTAGTCTAGAACTCAGAAGAAAGCAATGAGTTTCAGGGAAATACGTATGAGGTAATAATCAAATGCCAGGGCCTGAGGATGGTCTGATAACTGAGAGAGAATAGAAAGAGGAGCAGTAGTGCTGGGGCTAGAGCCTGCCAAAGCAAGCTGAGAAGGAGCAGCCAGGAAAGTGAAGGAACCCTGGGGTTGCCGTGTCTTGGTGGGGTAGTTTGGGGGAGTAAAGGTAAGTCAGTGGGGTCAGCTGCCATAGAACAATCAAACAGGAGCCTGAAAAGTACCTGAGTTTAAGCACCAAGAGGCCATTGTAGTCTCAGCAGAATGGTGCAGACAAAGTCAGATTGCAGTGGGGAAAAGGGGATGGGAGGGCGAGAGATGACAAGTATAGGGAAGACTTTGAAGGAACCTGAGAGTAAAAGGAAGAAGAAATAAATGATAGCCAGAAGGATGAACTTTTGTTTAAGATGAGAGCTGAGCATGTTTAAGATAGAGCTTTGAACGTCACTAAAGCTGCTACGAACAGCCATTACTGCCAGGAAGGCACAGGAAGAAACTGGAGTGAGTTCCCTAAGGTGGTGGTGAGGGGTGGAATTCTCAGCTCTAGTGGTAGGAGGAGTGGGCCCAGGGAAGGATGGGAGGCAGTTGGTGGGTGGAGGAAAAGGAAATCCACCCCACTGTGGATCATGGATCAATCCACCCCTTGGGTGAGTCACTCCTTTAGACAATTATCTCTCTGAACCTCAGCTTATTCACTTGCAAGTATTGGGTTATAACTCTCAAATTTTAGATTTCATTATTCTAAGCTTTTAAAATTTGGTTAGATTGGCATTTTATGACCATAACATTCTGTCCCAAGAGTTCCCATTCTGGCTGTGGACAGTAAAATTCTGAGATAATACATGTTACTGCTCTTTGTAAGGACAATAGAGTCCCAGGCCCTGTGGCTTCACAAAAGAGCGGGCTACAGAGCGCCCAATGGCTTTGCAAAGAGGTTATTTTGAGGGCTCTGTGCAGTCCTGGGGCGGCAGTTCTGGTGGCTCTGCTGAGGCACCACCTGGCCTTGGATTTTACTCCATTCCAGAAAGCCCCAGGGCTCTTGGACAGGGTTCAGAGAGTGGCAGGTGGATGGCAAGAGGAGGCGGCAGAAGGAACAATCTGAGGGAGGGGGTGGCATTTCCCAATTACAGTTCTGTCCCCATCTCTTCGTGGGAAGGTGGAGGAATGCTGTTTGAAAGCAAAGCAAAATTTCTGAGATTACACATTTGACTGCTCCTATGATATGATGGAGGGGCTCATACAATACCAGACCTGAATGGGGAGGCTGCTTGGGTAGACTTAGAGACCCTTGCTTTAGCTCCCACTCTCTGACCTTGGCAGTTGCTGCCCCTCTCTGCCTAGACCTCCAGCATTCAGTGGTCAGCCTTGCTGCAGCAGAAATGGCTTCAGGTTCTCTTTCCAGGGATTCGCAGTGAAAGGAAGTTAAACTGGCAATTTAACATACAAGTTTTGAGTGTCTACCTTGGGAAATTAGTTATTCATTCATTTATTTATTTGACAAACATAGTTCCGCTAGCCCAACCTTGTACTAAACACAGAAGGGAAAAATAAAAGTCCCTTCCTTTGTTAAATTGCATCGGTTAATAGTCCCTTTAAGGCCTCCCTGGGAGCACAGGGGTTAAGTCAGCACTATTAAGCTATCAGCTATCACAGACACTGCCTTAGAAGGAGTTCAATCCCCAGCCAGGAAGCTGACCCACATGGCACAGCAGACCTCTCCTATCTCACCCACTGCTCCCCTCAGCAGTGTATTTCAGTGGATCTGCCTCTTCTGCTTCCCAGTCTTTCTCTGATGAATGCTCTCAACACATATCTTTGGCCTACACCTTAGTTCTTACATGCATAAATAAATAAAAATAAGTCTTTAAAAAACAGCCCCTTCATTCACTCAACTAATTTCCAATCCGACCTTACAGTTTGTTATATTCTTTAAACTTCTTAATTGACCTGTATATCTTTTCTTTCATCTGTAAAAAAATGGGAATACATATTAATAATTTCTAGTTATCTCACAGTTTTTGGAAAACCAAACCTCTTGAAAAAAGAAAGCGAATACTGAAAATTCACAATGTTGATATGAATGTTGAGCTGTTGTTTTTATTATTATGTCTTTTATGCTTTTGATTTCTGAGTTTGGGACAATCTAGCCAGTGTGGAACAAATGTAAGAGCTGATGAAGTCCCTCAAGCAATTTTTAATATTTGGTTCAAGTGTTTCCTTTTCTGCCTATTACCGATAGCACCTACTTCCAACAACTGCACACGTCAGGCTGCTTCCCCTTTTAGCAACTCAGCAACGGTTGGCCTACTTGGTCACCAGGCCAGCACCAGCACAGAAAGCGCCAGCATGGCCTGGGACTCAGTTGGCCATGCTCTTTAAATCTCTTCTCCTAACACCTTTTTTTAAAATCACAGATGATGTCCCACATTTGTTGTTCCCTAAAGTAACTTAATTTGACAACAAATTTACTCAGTCACAGCACTGGGGTAGCTCCTGGAGACACAATGATGAATATAATGTAGTTCCTGACCTCAGAGGATTTATCATCTATTAGAGGTAACAGTCTAAATAGAACTAAAATCACATTACAGTGTAATAAGTGTTGTGGAGAATTATGTTCCCAGTCCCACAGCTAGTTGTATCACCTATAGTGAAAGGGGATTTGCTGCCTTCCAAGCTAAGCCATTCTAGTATTGAATAGTTCTCATTCATTCACTCATTCAACAAATAATTACTGAGCATCTTCTATGTCAAGCAGCATGCCAAAGCTGGGTATACAGGCAAGGTTCCTGTACTCAAGAAACTTAAAATCAGTGGAAGAGATACAGAACAAGCAAGAAAGCAAATATGTAACTTCAGGGAAAATAAATGCTATGCAGAAAAATTAAGCAGGACAAATAGCAGTGGGATGAGGAAGGGGAGGCTTTTAAATAGAGTGCACAGGAAGTCCTCTTTGACGTAGTGAAATTTGAGCAGAGATCTTAATGACATAGGGAACAAACCACGTGCAGAAGAGCAGCATTGTAAGCAGAGGGCACAGTAAATGCAAAAAATCCTAAAGTTGAATAATTTTAGCTTGTGCAAAGAATAGCAAGAAGGTGACTGTGACTGGAGCAGGCATATGAGGGGAAGAAGTAAAGATACCTGGAGAACAAGTAGGCAGGGACTACACCACTCAGGACACTGTGGGCCAAGGTGTAGAGTCTGCATTTTATTCAAGGTGCCTGGAGGAGTCATTGGAGGGTTTAAGTCAGGCAGTAATGTGATCTAATTACATTTACAGAACATTTCCATATAGACTTCCTCCTTCGAGGCAGGCTCACTACCAGCTAAGAACAGTGAGAAATAAAATTGTCAGTTGCAGATGAGGAAACTGAGGCTCAAATTGAATCAGTCATTTGCTTAGTCTCCTCTAAGGATCAATGGAGCTGGAACTTCAAGCCCATATCTTCTCACTCCCAGTCTCTAAGCAGCAATGTTTCTTCATATTCAACTCTGGTTAAGTAAATGGATGCGTGGATGAATGAATGAATGAGTCAATTGTGTTTCTGGTGGGCAACCCACTAGAGTCAGAGTCCTAGAATCTAGGTAGAAGATGCACATTGCCATTTAGTCTAGGGCTGGGGACTCTTCAATTCTCTCCAAGAGAGTTCAGTGACCACAGCATATGTGTGTGTCTTCTCTCTGCCCAGGTGGATGAAGAAACCCCGGTGTGGTGTCCCTGATCATCCTCACTTGAGCCGCAGGAGGAGAAACAAGCGCTATGCCCTGACTGGACAGAAGTGGAGGCAAAAACACATCACCTACAGGTGGTTTGAATCTCTTTGCTCTTCCCACCCTGGCTTTGGATCCACCCTCACTTTTCTTTCTGAGTTTCAGAGACTCATACTGTAGGTATAACTGATTAGTGTGAGGACTAGCTATGTACTGATAGCCTATGACTCTGTCCTGTGGCTTCCAGATGCTGGCTGTCTCCCACTTGAGGTTTACTTGGTCCTTTGGGGCCTCTTCAATTGTGTTTTGTTTAAATCCCTGTGGTTTTCAGTTTCAAAAAGTAGGATGAGTAACTTTCAGTTATGATAAAGAACCAGGCTGAATTTATCCTATCACTGCTAGGCAAACCCAATTTCCTCAGATCTGGATCCCTTCCCCATTTAACCAGCTGGACACCACTCAAGCCTCCAAATATGAAGGTCTGGTTGTTTCTTGAGAAGTACCAAGCCTATGGAAACTGAAAGATAGAGCAGAATCAGTCTCCAAGTCAGACCAGCAACCAAGAGCAGAGTTAATGAAACCCATCACAGCAGATTCAGACATTGAGTTTACAGCAGGTCTAGAGCAAGGGTAGGGCATGGTGCAGGCTCCAGTGGGCTTTGGCTGGCACCTTTCAAGGGAAGGTGGATCTATCGCATATGGGTGCCCTGTGTGGAAGGGTAGGATTTAAGATGGAGAGCCTTACTAATGAACTAAGGACTCTCTTGCTGATGAACTATAGAATCTAGATGATTTACTCAGAAAGCTGAGAAGAGGGAAACTGAAGAATCTGGTTTAGAAACTGAATAGACTCTCTTAGTGTCTCTTGAAGAGGTAACATGGCTCAAGAGAAAGAAGAACTGGCTTCTCACTCAACCCTCACCTTAACTCCTGCCACCAGTCTCTCTGATCTCTAGTTTCCTTACCTACAGAATGAATTCCTTGCTCTAGATGCTCATGGGCACCCATGATGTCCATGTGGACAATCATGCAGCATGAATACAGCGCCCCTTCATGGCTCAATTTATAACTGATTCAGTCAGATCCCTCCCTTTACCACCAATACCAGCAGTTGTTGTTGTCAAAGATTTTTATAAAGAATGCTTCACGTAAACTCTTCCTGTTTAAATACTTTTACAGCTTTTTAATAAGTATATATATTTTATATATTAGGAGAAAAACTTACACTTTAGAAAATGATGTCCACCAACTTAATTTTTTTCTACAAGTTGCAGTAGAATCCTATACTCAACACAAATTTTGTCAGAGATAAAATATAAAAAGTAATTAAAGCAAAGCCACTCTTAACTGAGGCAGAGTGGGGACCCTAGGCCTTGCCTTCTAAGATTCTTCTATAACCCTTGGGGATACCTAAGCAGAATTCTAGAGGTTCCAATTTGAGGGTCACTGGACCATCTGGTCTCTGATAGCTCTATCTATCTGTTCCTCCCTAACGATCCTCCCCTCTCTCACCAGCATTCACAACTATACCCCAAAGGTGGGTGAGCTGGACACAAGAAAAGCTATTCGCCAGGCTTTTGATGTGTGGCAGAAAGTGACCCCACTGACCTTTGAAGAAGTGCCATACCATGAGATCAAAAGTGACCGGAAGGAGGCTGACATCATGATCTTCTTTGCTTCTGGTTTCCATGGCGACAGCTCCCCATTTGATGGGGAAGGAGGATTCCTGGCCCATGCCTACTTCCCTGGCCCGGGGATTGGAGGAGACACTCACTTTGACTCAGATGAGCCGTGGACACTAGGAAATGCCAACCATGATGGTAAGACCATGAGGGAACAGGGGGTCAGTCCTGGGTAACTCAGTGGTCAAGGAAAGAAGCCCTAAGGATGAGCTTGGAGGATACCATAAGTGGATTTCCTGGTTTCTAGAGTTTCTTGCCCAGGAACTAGGAATCTAATACGAGAGTGATAATATCCTACACTTGACCCACTAGGGCCAGAGCCATGGAGATGAGTTTGAACACTCAGTAAAGGCCCTGCCTCAGAAGGAAGGGAGTAGGCCATGAGTAAGAAGATAAAACAGTAAGTCAGAAGCTGGAGAAAAGGGACCAAAAGACACTAAAGGTGAAAGTGGGGTCTGAAAGTATAGGCTCACATCACCAAGGCTTCAAAGGGGATTATATAACTAGCTCTCTGCTTATGTCAACGTTATGGACAAATAACAGGCCAGGCCCCATGATTACTCTAGCTTCCTTGATAACTTGCTCTTTGCCACTGTAATTCAATGAGTAGTATACGGAACCAGAGGCAACACTGTGCAGTAGTAGTAACAATACCCTTCCTGTTATAGGAGTTTCTCATCCATATTTATTCACAAGGTCCTTGCTTAGTTAGAAGGCAAGTGTGCATCATTAACATTTTCAGGATGAAGAACTTGGAGCACAAATGGCATGACTGATAGGTGGCAGTATTGGACTCAAACTGTAGCTTAATCACCTGGCAAGGTGACTGGGTCAAGTCGTGCACCCTCAGCCTGTTAATCTGTAAAAGGAGAGATTAGATCAAGTGACCTCTAAGGTCATTTCCAACTCTAATGCAACATGATGCACAGTCCAGACATGTTTTTTTTTTTAAATACATGGTCTCTGGCCCTCTGAAAATCCAGAGTGGAGTGGGGAGAGAGATATGTACATAAGTAGCCCTGTCACAAGGTAGACTGTACTAAAGGATGTAGCAGAAAAACCAAGATGCTGTGGGAATGTAGAGGAGAAAGGAACAGAGGATTCTATTTTGTTCTGTTTTAGATTATAATCAATAATAATTAGTATGTTAGTATTCAAGGCCTACATCAAGTGTTATCCACAAACTATGTAAAATGTATATATTATTATCACCCCCTTCAGGTAAACCTGAAGTATAGAAAAACATGAAGTAACCATCCTAAGGTCCCATCTTTGGTGAATGGTGAAATAAGGCTTTGAATGCAGGCTGATCACTCCAGAGCCCATACTCTCAGTCACCATGCTAAGCCTTCATGCTCTCAAACTTCTGGATACACAAAATCACCTAGAAACTTTTTGAAGAATGCAGGTTCTAGGTTCTAGGCCCCTAACCTCTTGCTGTTCTGGTCCTGGGGTTAGGCTGGGAATCTGCACTTCATTTAATAAATTCCCCGGGTGATTCTGAAGCAGGTATTCTATCACCTTGAAAAACACTGTCTTAATCCCTAATTTCCCTAATTTGCCTGGCCATAAAAATCAAGTAAGCTTCTTCTTATTAATATGGGTTCCTAGATTCTTCCCTGGCTCTAATTCTTAAGGTTTCGGACACACTAGTAATTCTTTTTCCTTGGCAATGCTTCTGGCTGAGGACAGACTTACCAGCCCATTTCCTGGAAGATGTGTCTGGGTCGGTCAATGGGGGACACCTCCCTAAGAACATTTCATTTCACTGCTTGGATCAAAGACCCCCCCAGCTCTTAGTTTACATGCCAAAGGGTAGATCAGGAAGTGCTTTGGCCAACGCTCAGCAAAAGCAAAGTTATGAAACTAAATTTCTCTTTGTCCTGCCTTCTTCCAAATTTTGTCCTCTTTCCTATCAAACTCCATTTCCTCTGTCTCGATGTGTTCTCTGACTTTCTTTATCTCATTCTTATTCTTGGATCAGTGTCAATGAATGGCTTTCTGTGCTCACTGATAAAGTGTAAGGAGAACAGAACTAACATTTCAGAGCCCCTGCAATGTGCCAGGCACTGTCAGCTGATAAGATTTTAGTTATGGCCCTGACAGGGAAAAACATTTTTTTAATGTGCTGCCCAGAGAAGGCACTGGGAGGATATGTCCATTTTTCTGCCCTCCCCTGCCCTGTTCTGAGAAATGGCACTGCCCGCAACCACTCCTACTGTTGCAGACCTCTCTCCAAATCCCAAGAACTTCTGGTGGTATGTGTGGGAAGGAACTAGGCACCACCAGCACCCTCCAGCGTGTCCTGCCCTCACCTGATGAATGAATGCCAATTCTTTTAGAAATCCCAGTGTTTAATGCCTCCTTTGGACAAGAATCAGTACTTTCCAGTGCTCTGGAAAGCCAAGTGTGAACATCACCACTACAGTTCATAACCACAGCAACAACCCTCCCGCTGTCAAACTGGAATGCAGTGAACTTCCCTAGCGCAGCTTTTGGAAAGAGAAAAGGAACCAACATTTATTGAGCACCTGCGTATTATCTTGTCAAATTTCCACAAAAACTCAGGGAGGGAATGAACAGAACCTCCTGGGAATGTCTTGTTTGTTGACTTTCTTTTCTATTCTACATTTCCTTTACGGAAAATTTCAAACTCACAAAAGCAGGGACCCATCTTCAGCCATGATCAACTTTGTGCCGTGCCTATTTCCTCTACCCTCCTCCACTTTTATTTTTTGACTAATGTCTTTAAAAAAAAAAAATCCCAGGCATATTATCATTTCACCACAAACACTTCACTACATATCTCCAACACGTTATTTTTAACACCATCACAAAATCATTACCAAGCCCAAATAAATTCATAATCATTTCTTAAAGTATACCACTAAGCTCTGTGTTTTCGTTTACTTGCAAATTACCTCAAAAATGTCTTTTACAGTTGTGCTTTTTCCATTTTATACTGACTTTTTCGTTTCATAATTCCTTAGATTTTCACTTGCATTGAGAGCCAAACAACATCCACATATCCTACGTGGCTGACATGTCTTTTATGGACCTTTTCACTGATACAGTCACCTCGCTTTCCTTCACTCTCTCACCCCCTAATTTGTTAAAGAGCAGAATCATTTTACTTGACTAGATTTAGGTTCACTTTTAACATGAGTCTTCTCCAGAGTTCCTGAATCCTGGTGATTATGTCTAACATTCAACTGGATTCAGGTTCACCTTTTTGGCAAGAATACTCCCTGGGTGGTGCTAATCCTCCCTCTTGCATCACTGGAAACACATATGCTGCAGCTTGCCCCACTTTCAATGATGTTAGCTTGAGTGTGTGGTTCAGATGTGTCAGCTTCAACCAGTCACAGCATTCATCCGCACAACTTAAAAAAAGCAAGTCTACCTGGCCCCAAACTCCTAACCCCCATCCCTACCTGTGTTTCAAAGGCTGCCCTGATTCTCTACCTCAAGTGCGGAGTCTGTGTGAAGGGCAGCCTGGCTGCCCCACCTTTAAGACAGCTTCTGAGGCTGCCTCCAGGCACCTTCTGTCCTCCTCTTTCAAATGAGTCAAGCAGTGAAGTCAGCAGAATTCACTAAGCTCTGCCGGGGCAGGAGCCCAGCCCAGGGAGGTGACAAGACAGGAAGAGTCATGAGACCAGCCCATCCCCGGGGACAGCCCTTCCACAATTATGGGGCCCTCCCCACCCCTTGCTTCCCAGCTGGACTAGGCAGATTTCCTAATCTCCATTTTACAGAAGAGGAAAGTAAAGTTGAGTGGCTCAGAAATTCACACAGTCAGTACTGGGCAGAGCCAGGTATTCAGCCAGGACTCTGAATTCTTAACTCATCCCTGGTGGTTCTGCTGCAGGTTGGCCAAGGACCACGCCTGGAAAATACTGAAAGAGTTGGCAGCTGCCACCTAGCCCTGTCAAGCACAAAGTTTGCCCTCAAGGAGCTCACGGTCCTGAGGCAGATGAGAGTGGGCTAGAGGCGACAATGGAGGGTGGAGAAGAGTCAATGCCATGAAGATAGCCCAGACAAACTCTGGGCAACTGCTGAGGAGGAAGTACTTATGCCATGGATCCTCCTGCATGCTGTGCATTGAGCTGAACTTTGGAGGAGCAAGGCTATTCCAAGTGCAGGGGACAGCACTGGCAAAGGAAAAGGGAAAGGGAGAGAGGGTCTCTTCTGGGGCACTGAGTAAATGAGATGGGGCTCACCAAATCTGCATGTGCTAAGAAAAGAAAATGAAGTGGAGACTTGAGTAGCCGAGTAGACTGCTGGGGGTGTGGTGGAAACATTCCTGTTGAGAAAGTTTCCCAACTCTCACACAGTTGGCTATGCTGTGTGCTGCGGATACTGATGGCTCTGTGTCAGGAGGCAGTATGGGCACTTTACACACCGGCCATGTTAATCTTCGCCCCATTCTTGTGATGAAGGTACATTATTCCTTTCATTTTACAGAGGCAGAGAGTTAAAATGTCACAGTGGTGGGACGTGATGGCCAAGCTGAATCATGGCAGTCTGGCTCCCAGGACTGTACCTCTTAGCACTCTGCTTCCCTGCCTTTCACTGTCTCAGGGAGTGAAGACCCTAATAGTCTCCCACCTGTAAAGTTCTGGGGTCTTCTCTGTCCCTTCCCAAGTTCCCTGGAGTTCCCCTACTCCTCTCTCTTTTCCCCCACCCAAGCAGGCCCCATGGAACAGGTCTCTTGGGGTGCTCTGCAGCTCCCCAGATCATCTATGCCTGTTGGCCTCTCTTATTCTAGGGCCTACTCCTGCTCTCTGCAGAGACTGGGGTAAAGAAACTAACACAGTAACGGACTCTGGCTAAACTCAAAGATTTAGTCTTATCAGGTGTTCAGAACCTTGCTCCCTATTTCCCAGCTGAGATCCCTAAGGCCACCCCAGAGGGAGAGACTGGTCAAGAAACAGACCCGAACAGCTTGTCCCTGGTCTAAAAGCCAGCCCGGAGCAGAGCCAGAGCTGGACCCCAGGAAGCAGAGCTGCCTTCTGCTGGCTTTAGCAGTGGCTTTTCTTTGGGATGGAGCTCAGAGATGAGCTCACCCTTCCCTGCTGCCAAAGGGACAAGGACCTGAGGAAGGAACTGGAGGTGGCCTGGCCTCCGTATGCCAGCTTGCCCTGCCCTAGCAGAAGGCCAGCCCCAGGCTTTTGGCCAACCTGCACTGATCTTATCCATCCCACCTTCACTGAAGACACCGGTGGTATCAGGACCTGTCCCATGGGGCTCTTCCCAAGAATCTTAGTCAGTATGGCCAGAGACCACTCCCAGCCCCATCTGATCCCTCACAGGGCCCTTGCCTCAATGAGGGCAGGGAATTTTGTTTTCTTTAGGGACACTAGAGCCAAAGTGGGATTCTAGGACTCCTGACCATCTCCTGGGCTCCTGGTAGTCTCACCAGCACTTCAAAGTGGCAGAAATGGGCTTTCAATGTGCCTTAGAGCTGGGTCATACAGGCAGTTCTTGAGGGCATTCAGATGCCAGAGGTCAAGGCAGCAGAAGTCTAACTGGATAGACAGGAGTCAGGATTGCTGATACTCCCTGTCCCTTGGCATTCTTTCCCAAAACTGGGGCAACTTAATCCCCCCAATTCAGGCCTTGCCCTGTCCCAAAACTGTTCTAGTAGCTCAGGGGTGTTGGTTCTCAGAGGACCTGGCTGAGGGAACACTCTGACCTGTGCTTCCTTTCTGGTCAGTGGACTTGTCCTGGACACCGAGCTGGTGTTTGATGCATGGTACCAACCATGCCTCTTACACTTATCTTATTCAGTCCTCCACTACCCTGTGAGTTAGGTGATTTCCCCCCTTTTACAAATAAGGAAACAGGCTTGTGCCAAGTTCACAAAAACTGGTGGGGGCAAACTGAAGTGAAGGAGATAGGTCCTCTGTGCCATGCTCCTGCCTCAGCTTCACTCTGGGTCCCACACCCACTTTCAGCACTGGCACCTTGTTGTTTTCACTTGCAATTGAATTACTGCCTTGATCTTGGCCCTAGCTCACTTCTCTTGGGAACCAGGTCCTGTTGGACTGGGAGCTAGCTGCCCCACCGCCTGAGCCTGGCTCGGCCCTGGGTCTCCTTGAGCTGACCGCCTGCCTGCCCCTCCCCTCCCGCCTGGGGCTTGCTTGCTTGTCCACGCTTGCACCGCCTTGGCAGCTCAGGCCCTTTGCATTTCTCTGCACCCTGGCACCTGGGTCTGAACTGACCCCACTGGTCCCCCTGCCTCTTGTCTCATTACCCCTCTAATCCTCCCTCCACTTGCAGCCAGTGATGTCCTCCTGTTACCACCCCCCCACTCCTGCTTAAACCCCCCACTGGCCAAGAAGCCAATCCAAATGCCTCTGCCTGGCATCACAGAGCCCTGCTTGCCAGCCTGGCTGACCTCACTTCTCTCAGGCCCTCCCTTTACACTGTTCCATAGCCAAGTGGAATGAAACTGTTTGTCCCTGGATCTTATTTATAGCATTCCCTCTGCCAGGAAGGCCGCCCCCACCCCTTTTCCCCTCCTACCCACTAGACGGCTTCTCTTCACTAACTTCTTATCTTGCAAGACTCACCTTAAGCTTCACCCTTATGGAGCTTGCCCTGAACATTTTACCTCACGTTTAAATGACTTCCCTGCTCAGAATCCTTACTCGACCCTTAGAGACAGCTATTAAAGCACCCAGAGCACTAGTTTCACTTACTTTGTTTCTCTGTATCTCCCACAATAAGGAGCACTCTTGAAGGAAGGGATTGCCTCTGGTTGTCCACAAGTCCTGTACAAGGGGGCCTGACACAAAGTACATAAGTTTGGTGTTTGCTGAAGGAATGGATTCGCTGACTGAAACCTAAGTGGGTGCCTGGGCACCTCCCATCTCCTCCTTCACAGGGAATGACCTCTTCCTGGTGGCTGTGCATGAGTTGGGCCATGCGCTGGGGCTGGAGCACTCCAATGACCCCAGCGCCATCATGGCGCCCTTCTACCAGTACATGGAGACGCACAACTTCAAGCTGCCTCAGGATGATCTCCAGGGCATCCAGAAGATCTACGGTGTGTGGCAAGGGGAAAGGAGTCGCTGCTCCTTCCTCAAGGGCTGGGCTGTGATTGCCTGCCAGTGGGGAGTGGGGAGGCAGGGGTGCAGGGAGAGCACTGTCATCCACCAACCAGCTGCCCAGTCTCTGACCATTGTCTGACCTTTAGAGGTTCTGATGTTTTCACTTGATCAAAGGGATCAAGTCTCCCTCCCCCATATCACACCTAGGGGAGGGTCTAAGCTGTGACTGGGAGGGACAGAAGTGAGCAGAGGCCCACTCCCTCCCTCTTTTTTTGCCCCAAACTACTTCATACACCTCCCTCTCATGGTTCTCAAAGGGCCCCACTTCTAGCCTAGTGAATCAAACATCTGCCCCAGTAATGCTGATATAATGTGATGAGTATCATTTCTTCTTTTCTGAAACAAGATAAGAAGCCAGGAGGATATCTTGAGAAGACATGAGAGGCCTGTGACCAAGCCTCCCTCCCAGTTCTCTGTTCATACTAACATGTGATTTCCTCCTTCTAGTCAAAAGGCCAGTTTACTTGAGCAAATGCAAATCCACACACAGCACAAGCCCCCAAAGTCAAAGGTTAGAGAGGCCTGACGTCTCACAGAAGTGGTGACTCCAACGAGCACTGTGGGGCATGAGTAGAATCTCTACAGATGAAGGAGTCGAGGACCAGACAGGGATGGTGGGGACTAGAGGGTAACTCAAAAGTAGAATGGACAGATTTGCTGATAGACTAGACACAGTGTTGGGGTCAAGGATGACACCAAGATTTCTGGCTTTTATAATTGTGGAGTAATAGGATTACCAGTTCAGAGATATGGGTTGGGATACTGATTTGAGATCTCTCTTGTCCAACACAGTAGCCATTAGCCATGTGTGGCTATTGAAAGTGAAATTTACATGAATTAGAATGAAATATAATTAAAATTTTAGTTACTCTATGACACTAGCAAGTATTAATCATTTCAAGAGCCCAATAATCACATGTGGCTAGAGGCTACTGCACTGGGCAATGCAGATATAGGACATCTTCATTATCATGGATCTGATTAGACAGCCCCAACCCAGAGGGCCTTGGATGACCATCTTGGATGAGATCACTTAGGGAAATGATTCTCAATGTGGCTGTCCATTGGAATCACTTTGGGGTTTCCAAAAAAAAAAGACCATACCAGCCTTCATCAATTTGGTTTTAATTGATCTGGGTGCCAATGAGCATCCAGAGTTTTAAAAGATCCCCATATAATCCTTATATGCAACCCAAGTGAGAAGAACACTAACATAGAAACAAAAACCAGAAGAGAAGGGAACTCGGGCACTCCATGAGGTAGAAGAAAAGCCACTGGATTTGGCAACTGGGGCCATCGGTGACAGTGACAGAGCCTGTATTTGAACGTAATGAAGAATAAAGGGGTGTGCGTGAGTGGGGCCAGCGTGCATGGAGTCAACAAAGAGGGCAGGGGATACCGAGCCCAAGGAGGGACGTGTACTCTCTTGTAACAGAAGTGAGAGAAGATTCAGTTTGGGGTGAAGAGTTCCCATCTGATGGCTACTTTCTCAAAGATTGGGGAAGTAAAAAATGGGAAGAGGGGAAAAGAGAGGCTGGAGGATGATTGCGTTGTCTCAGAATTGCCAGGTGTGTAAGGTGACAGCAGTGAGAGGCAGGTGCCAGCCGACCCTCTCTAAGATGCAGCCCCTTTCTCCAGGACCCCCAGCTGAGCCCCTGGAGCCCACAAGGCCTCTCCCCACGCTCCCCGTCCGCAGGATCCACTCGCCCTCAGAGAGGAAGCATGAGCGCCAGCCCAGGCCCCCTCGGCCACCCCTCGGGGACCGGCCATCTACACCAGGCGCCAAACCCAACATCTGTGATGGCAACTTCAACACAGTGGCCCTCTTCCGGGGAGAGATGTTTGTGTTCAAGGTAGGACCACTAAACTGGCACCACCAAAATGGTCCCCTCCCAACCCTTCCCCTATCACAGAGGTAGAGAAAGTTCTTGGATTGGGCCTCCTGTGGGACCTGGAAGCAAGCTGGCTCAGCGGCTAGGACACAGGTCTCTTCCAGGTGTTGTGGAGTGAATGGACTTGTTTCCAGGCAGGAGGGGAGAAGATAGGTGACTCCACACCTCCCCAGGGGCAAAAAGGAGACCTGGGCACATGTCTCCATCACACTGGTAGGGTTAAAGACGGCTGGCCACTTCCCTCCTAGATCTCTCCCACCAAACTTTGAGCACTGAGCAAGAATTAGGCAACAAGTGTCAGCCCAGTCCTGCCTTACTGAGTGGCTCTAGAAAGTTGCTGGGCTCCATTAGACTATACGGCTCAGATGTACTTAACAAGGATCGTGAGAGTCAGAATGAGTTTAAAACATTGGATGGTCTATGTGCTTTGTAAAACACCTTTTAGAAACATTTTCTAGTTTTTGTACCATCTTTCACAAATCACATTTATTCTTCTACACCCTGGTTCCCCAACTGAACTTTCTCAGGCCACTCTGGGTTCTTTCAGCAGCATTTAGACATAAGGAAATGGAGGTCCTGGGCGCTAGGGGCCTTGCCCGGGCTGGTTACCAGCCACAGGCCACCGTGGAACAAAGCACCAGTTTGAAGAGGAAGCTTTCACTACATGTGTCCTATTGAGCTGCTGTTTATTCAGTGTTGACTGTGTGTCTCAAACTGTTACAGGCACTTTGTCTATAATCTCCCATCTGAACCCCCATTATTGCCGCCATTTACAAGTGAAGTGCTTTAGTTCTTTGCCCATATGCAAGCAGCTATATGAAGGAGCCTCAAATTCACCCCCAGGTCTTGTGGAAATTCCTGCGGCTTGCTCCCTGCTGTCGTGGCCCTGCTGGGTGGAACCAGCCATGAGGACTCTGCCTAGGCCCAAGGAGCATACTATACTGCCCACCAGCCCTGGGAGTGTCCTGATTGAAGTCAGTGACTCTCTGCTGCCCTCATGTGGCCACTTCAAGCCACATGGGGTCATCCCTTCAGCTCCAGGCTTTCTTCCCTCCCCAGTCCTACAGAGTCTGGCTCTCTCTCTTATGGCCCCTCTGCAATTAGTCATCAGAGGCTTACAGAAATGGAGTTAAGAGTTACTCCTATTTTCTTCACAAGGCTTTGAAAGGAGCTGACAGATTTCACAGGAGGGTTGCAAGTTTGAGTTAAGAGGAAAGGTTGGGTTGCTGGGGCCCACAGTCCCAGGACTGAGATCACTGGGTACAGAGGCAGGGCCTACCATACTTCTGTCTCTCTTCTTTCACCTCTCTCCCCCAACCCAGGACCGCTGGTTCTGGCGCCTGCGCAATAACAGGGTGCAGGAGGGCTACCCCATGCAGATTGAGCAGTTCTGGAAGGGCCTGCCTGCCCGCATAGATGCAGCCTACGAAAGGGCCGACGGAAGATTTGTCTTCTTCAAAGGTAATGTGGCCTATGCAAAGAGGGGCCCCCTGCCCTTCTCTAGGCCACTTTTCTTCCTTCCATCTATATATTAGAAGAGGTGGGGTGGGAGGTAAATGCCCTCCCAGGGCCTATCTAGCCCTAACAGAGATACTGATCTCAAACAAGATAGATCTCTGCAGGTGGTACAAAGTCAAGCCAAGGAGTGATTGCTGAGGGCCAGTATGTGCCCAGGTTGGCAAGGAGACACCTCGCCCATATAGAGAGAGCCACCCTCCAGCGCTCTGTGGGAGGCCAACCTGTCATTTCTATAAGAGCCCCAAGGGAGAAGGTCACACAGGCTGGACAGATCAGGGAGGGGGAGGCAGCTAACTCGAAAGGCATGCTCACCCTGTGCTACGCTGTTTCACTCTGATGATTTTGACTTGGGCCAGGTCCTGGAAGGGAAAGACACAGAGAGTGAGAAATACAGAAACCATTCTAAGAAGCACAGTATGGGTAAAAGGTGGGCACCCACATTCTAAGGGCTTAGAGGACCCACCTAATAGCAACTGGGCCCCTCACTGGAGAGCTGTGTGGAAGTGGCCCAAAAAGGTAGTTTGGGAAGTGTCCTAAGGAGCCTTGGTTTTCAAGCCAGAATGTAGTCTTGATCCATTAGGTCAACTCTGGAAATTCATTGAATGTTTCTGAGCTATGGTGAGCCAGAGGGTAGGTGGCAACTGGTAGGGCAGAGGAAGTGAGGCCATTTCTCAGACCACTGGTAGAGTGGAGGAAGGTGATGTCTCCAAGGTCCATCGGTGAGATGCAGTCTTGAGAAAGCTGGAAGATTAAAAGCTTGTAAGAAGCAGAATACTGAGAAGAGAGAATCAAAGGTGATGTGGACTTTTACTGGGGAACCCTCTGAGGCAGACAGATGTACAGCCTGAGCAGCATGGGAGAGCTGCCCAGGCTCTGTGACTGGCTTCTGGCTTTGCTCCCCAAGTTCTTATCTGGGCCCAGGGGGATCAGTCTCCCACTGAGGGAGGGCTCCGTTTCCCCCTTACACTGACGGTATCAATGATTTCAGTTCTGGGAGATGAGTAACTGGGGAAGGCTGACCCTAGGCGTCTGTTGGTCACAGGTGACAAATACTGGGTGTTTAAGGAGGTGACAGTAGAACCTGGATACCCCCACAGCCTGGGGGAGCTGGGGAGCTGTCTTCCCCGAGAAGGTATCGACACAGCTCTGCGCTGGGAACCTGTGGGTAAGACCTACTTCTTCAAAGGGGAGCGGTACTGGCGTTACAGCGAAGAACGGCGGGCCACGGACCCTGGCTACCCCAAGCCCATCACTGTGTGGAAAGGCATCCCCCAGGCTCCCCAGGGAGCCTTCATCAGCAAGGAAGGATGTAAGTAATACATGGCTGGTGAGGGTGGGGGCTGATTTTTTGTGGTTCTCACGGTCATATTCTCAGGGCACCGAAGTCTGAGACACACCACAAGGGAGCAAAGACAACAGACCCTCCTGTCTACACATGCTCATAACGTCATTCTCTAAGTCACAGTTGAGACGTTTTCGTAAATAGATTTTGCAGCATTTCTCAAATCCGTAGGTCTATTTAGGGATTCATCAAGTTATCAAATGGTTTGGATTGGGGTTCAAAGGTGCTTTCCACGGAGTTTAAGGGCAGGAAGATGGAGCGAGGTCTTTTTTACATTCTGGGTGTTTCCTGAGCTCCACCGTGGCTGCTATCCAAAGTTCACAGCCTCTCTCCCCACCAGACTCAGAGCTTGTTGAGAGGGTCTTACCAAGTGCAGAGTGGGTACTCATGAATGCTGAATGCAGCTCCACTGACCCGACAAGCGCAGACTCTAGAGGCAAACCACTGGCTTCAGGCTCCACTGCCACCACTGGCTGAGTTTGGGCAAATCACTCGAGTGTCTCGGTTTCCTCATCAGTAAAGTGAGCATAATAATGGCACCTTCCTTGTGGCACTTGCCCAACCTAAATCAGATATGTATGGCAAGCACTGAAACAAATGCCTAATGCACAGCCCAAACCACAGTTGTAACTCCCACCACCACCATCATCATGGTCATCTTGTGGGTATTTTAGTTCCTTTGGAACAGTGCAGCCATTCATTCACTCCAGACTGATTACTAAGAACGAGGTTGTGTGGGAGGACTGGGAACAGAACAAGGAATAAAACTTGCAACTACTCCTTAGCTCCTGAAGGCAGAAGACAAATAAGGTGGCAACAACTACTATTAAGGAAAGAAATGCTGTGAGAACAATTAGAGACAGGGGCCACCCTGAGGGTTCTATGGGAAGGGCTCTCCAAAGAGACACAACTCTGGTTAGGAAAGCTAATGGACACTGGGGTAGAGCTGCTATTTGGTGGCTTTCCTGTGTATCTGGTGTTTTATACATGTGGTCTTGCTCTTTAAGGAGCCTTGGAGACAGGTGACTTCAAGGACTTTGGCCAATGAAAGTTCCAGCCAGGGTGAGGGGTCAGCCAATAGAATCTGAGCGAGTTGTGTTGCATCTGTGACTGGCTGGACTGCTAAGGCTGTTGCCAGAAGCCTTGGGGGTGGCTGGCCCCTCCCCCAGCAGGGTCCCAGTGACCCTGCCTGCATCTGTGATGCAAAGTAATCTGTGCCAAGTCAAAAAAAAAAAAAATCCATGATAACTGTAACAAGGTGCTGCTTGTCTGCTGTAAACAGGAGAAATCTTGCTTCCTACTTCCATTCTCTCAGACAGGAACTGGACTGAGGCCCTAGTGAGAGACAGTGCTAACCAAGCCCAAGTTGGGGGGCTTGATCTGACCCACACGGAGGGTGGGGAGGAATGTGGGCATAGGATGACAGAGCTAAGGAGGCCCTATCTGGGAGCTATAAAAACTGAATGTACCGATTCTACTTAAAGCCTCCCCCTGCCACTCCAGTGCTTCCCAGCAGCTTTAATATGCCTTGGTGGGCTGCTCAGGCTCTGGGTGCCCCTGTTCGCACCTGTGCAGGTAACAGTCCATGACCCAGCCACCCTACTGACAAGTGTGTCACACACTGTTCTCCCCACAAGCCCAAGCGCTCTAACACTATTCCAGGGAGAGGTGTCCTTTGTCTATGCTGCCAGAGCTCTCACTGACCCACAGTGGTGCCAGGAAGGGCCTGGGGGTGGTGATGCTGGGCCATTTTTCTACAGATTACACCTACTTCTACAAGGGCCGTGACTACTGGAAGTTTGACAACCAGAAACTGAGTGTGGAGCCAGGCTACCCGCGCAATATCCTGCGTGACTGGATGGGCTGCAACCAGAAGGAAGTGGAGCGGCGCAAGGAGCGGCGGCTGCCCCAGGATGATGTGGACATCATGGTGACCATCAATGACGTGCCAGGCTCTGTGAATGCTGTGGCTGTGGTCATCCCCTGCATCCTGTCCCTCTGCATCCTGGTGCTGGTCTACACCATCTTCCAGTTCAAGAACAAGGCAGGCCCTCAACCTGTCACGTACTATAAGCGGCCAGTCCAGGAATGGGTATGAGCAGCTCAGAGTCCTCTCTGTCCACTCAGTCTAGCCGGTCAGACCCTTCCTCACCAGGGTCTAAGGGCAGCTCTGGCCACTGCCTACCAGGCCAGCAGGGCCCTAGGCCAGGGATCGTGCAGCTGAAGTGGTGGGTGCATTGGCCTAGGCTGAGCGTGGGCCAGGGAGTGATGGCGCTGTGCCCTAGGGTGGGTCTCTGGCACACAGCTGCCAGTCTTCTGTCCTGGGTTAACTGTCCCCACCTCATGGGGATAGACCAGGCCCCACCAGGAGGCAAGGACCATGCCAGGAGGAAGCTCTGTGGTCACTGCAGCCTGTGTTGTCCATGAGGCATCACAGCTCCCATCCTGGCTGGACCCTGTGGTCATTGCAGCCTGTGGTGTCCATGAGGCATCACAGCTCCCATCCTGGCTGGACCCAGCACCTTCTGTGGGAAGCAAGCACTAGTGCTCAGTTCCACCTGAGAGATGTCACCAGTCCTGGCCCCCTCTTTGCCAACACCTGCTGGTCAGATGTCCCCCTACCCCCACCTCACTATCCTCCAAAGCTACAGGACCCCTGCTGGGCAACAAGCCTGGGTTTCCCCTGCTGGCACACAGCAGATTCCTCAGGAAACCTGCTCCACACATCAAGGTCTCCTCTGAGACCCAGGATTTATGGTCACATGCTGCAGGCAGGGCTGTGGCCCAGCTGGGTCTGACAAGGACCCAGCTGTCACGTATGAATATTTAAATGTCCTGTCACTAATGTTTAAAGTCCCATTCTGCAAAGGCTGCTTGAGGCTTTAGGTGAATTAGAAGTGACTGTCTTGGCGATGAGGCCAGCTTGATAGGCCCTCTCCCAGGTGATAAGGACCAAGGTGCTGCTAAGGTTACCCTAGTACCCAGACAGCCCAGGAGCTGAGCCCTGTTTATGAAACAAAAAGGCCTGGAACAGGAGCTAACCCCATTTCTGGAAGCCAATCTGAGTTTGTGACTGTCCTTCACTAAGCCCCATCATCTTTTACCCTCTTCCAAATGCCCCATGCCCCAGTCCTGCTCCAGCCTATGGGCTTACACCTTGCAAGCTCAGCCTGACTAGTTAGATGAAGAACTGGCTCCAGGCCAACAATCTTAGGGCCTTGGGGTAAGGAGCCCAGGGCAGCCTTCAGAAGTGCTCAGAGCCTGAAGTTGACTCAATGTCTCAGCCCAGAAACATCACTTACACCTTGAGCTTGGTCCTTGTCGAGCCAGCTCACAGGGCCCATCTTCCTATATTGCTCTTTGGAAAAGGGCACCTCCAAATGGTAGCAGCCCCAAATCTAGGGGCTTTTCCGACCCTTCTTGGGCCCACCTTTCACTCTGTGGAAAGATTTCTAGGGCTCAGCTTGCCTCACTCCAGCCCAGTAAAAGCAACCCTACTTGTCACTGAGGAACGTTAGGTGAGACCAATGGGTTCAGCAATCCCCACTGGCTCTCTGCCAAAGCCAAGAAGTTTGGGTCTTCAGGGTGCTGGCAGGGTCTCAGATGCCACCCCTATCCTCTGAGCCTAGCTGGGTTATGTCCCTACCCCATGGCCTCTAGACTTGGGGTTGACTTAACCTGTCATAGACAGGGATATTCTGCTGCCCTGGGAGCTATCTCAAGCAAAATCTCTGTTGTCCCAGAGGTATCAAAATGGGCCCACTGTGCTCCCTGTCATTATCCTTCTGTTTTTTCTCATTTTGGCCAAGGGCGGGTTCCCTGGGGCGGGTGGGGAACAACTGCAAAGATATTAGTGATTCATAGGTTTGTACAGTGTTTTATACTTTGCAAAGCACTTTATTAGCTCACATCTGTCCATTCACATCAAACTCCCCCAGGAGGCTGAGGGTAACTCTCATCGTGCCCTCCAATGAAGCACGGAGAGGCTGTTACTTACCCTGGCCATTTACTGGGCTGGCTGGGCCTGGACCCCTGTAGGATCCAGGATGAGATCAGAAGTGTCTCTTTTATTCATCTTTTCCTGGCCTCCTTTACCCCCTTTCCCTTCCACTCCTCAGGTTGGTGCTCTCACTTCTTGAAAGCTCTAGGACCCCCAGCCTCCCTGTTGGCTCCTGGTACTACTGAGGCCAGCTAAGAAAGAGCAGGAGATGGAGGCAGGCAGCCCAGACTGCAGATGTGAGGGATGCGGAGCCAGGCCCAGAGAGGGCTCGGCCTGGAGGCTTTCAATCTTGGGTTCTCCTGCCTTGTGGTCATCTGTTTGTCCGTCACCCCAGGACACAGCAGACAGACAGAGGGGCCAAGCACTGGGGCCCCAGAGCCTAGCTTCCCCTCTGTCTGGGGAACATCACAGCATTTCAGTGTCAGTCACATTTTAAACTGATCAGCCTTTGTATAATGTTTTTTAAATCATTTCTAAATAAAACTAAAATACAGAATGTGTCATTTTCCTGGGATGTGGGAACAAAGATTCTTAGTGTGGCCTTAAGCTGGTAGAGGGGGCCCTGCCCCAATGCATGTCATCCCCAGGTCCAGGATTCCAGCCCCTCCAAAAGGCTGGCCCTGAAAAACCATAAATACAGCCTAATAATACCTCACTGGGATGCAGGGATGGGGTAGGGGCAATGTCCCTAGGGTTCAGCAATCCCCACTGGCTCTCTGCCAAAGCCAAGGGAGGGTCAACACAGCAAGGTCTCCTCCAAAGTCAAGGAGTAGAGCGCAAAAGCACAAGACAGCAATAAGAGACAAACGCGAGGTCATGTCAGCAGCCTTGATCGCGTGTTACCGGGGGCCCTGGCCTGGTTTGGGATGTCATTATCAGGCAGTTGGGGAAGCTGTGAGGTGAGGGCGAGCACGCAGGCCTGAGGTGGTTTGTGTGCAGACTGAGACGCAACCGAGCTGGGAATGCTGGGAGGGCCGAAGGCCAGTCGGACCCGTGGTATCCTCTAGTACCCCATGACCTCTACAACTCTCCTAGGCAACTTTCCTAGTTGCAGGGGGAGGAGGGGGGACGAGGGGGGAGAGCAGGGCGGGCAGGAGGTGTGAGACACCGGGTCACGAGAGACAGGCGGCTCTAAGGACAGGAGGCGGCGACCAGCGTGGCAAATCAGTACCAGGAGGTACAGGCGATGAGGAAACGCACGTCGTCCAGCGGCCCCCAGGGGCCTGGCTCAGGCCGGGGTCTTTCAGGGCCCCCAGGCGCCGCGGGCTCGGGCTGGGGCTGCGGTAGCGCCGGCTCTGGGGCGCCCTGGCCGCCGCTCAGCAGAGCGCCCATGATCTGCAGGAGGAGAGACCCGTCAGGTTGGGGTCCGCCCGCACGCTCCCCCGGCTCCCGCCCGCCAGCTGCCGCCGCAGGCCCTCACCTCCAGGCCCTTGCCAAGCGTCTCCAGGATCCGGCTGCCGAGTCCGTCCGCGCTCAGCAAGGGAACTCTGGGAGGGGCCGGCGCAGTGACGTCACCACAGGCCGCCAAGGAGTTCCAAGCGCGGGGGGCAGGGCCGACCGCCGGCCCCACCCACCAACCAGGACCATCCCTACGCCCAAACCCCAAACCCCGGGCCCGCCCCCGCAGTCAGCAAGCTCCTCCAGCCCCCACCTACCCCTTCCCCCATCAAGCTACTAAGGGGAAGGGCTGCCCAATTTGGTCAGAGGCATTCAAATCACCTGACAGCTGGGCCAGAATACTCCCGTCCACCTTGGCTCAAAGGGGACAACACTGCCCCGTAGTCATTTACCCCAGTAGCCTTACAGGACCCTCACATCTGCCCTGGGGAGAACTGGGGCAGATTCTCATCCTCTGAAGCCCAGAAGACCTGAGGCTGAAGTTGGGTGGAAAGAAAAATGAATGCCTCTTCATTTTGCCCAGGGATGAAGGTCCCTCGTCCTGATGAGGGGAGAGAGGGATTGTGGGTTTGAGTTGTAAGTGTGGAGCCTATCCAACCATCCCCTATAACAATAGTGGAAGAAGGGGGGGGGGTGGTGTTTGAAGCCCCAAACAACACATTCAGAATGGCCAGAGGCAGATGCCCTTTAATGGTATGACACAAGACAGCAGAGTTCTCAGCCAGGAGGATAGGACCTAACAAGGCAGCATATGTGGCATATTTCTGCAGCAACTAGATTCAGGAGCTGGGCAAAGGTAACGGGTTGGGTATCCAGTCACTGAGTCCAAGTGAGTGCTCTGCCATCTCCTTGCCAACATCCAATACAAACTGGGTAATGCAGGAGCCAAAGTCCAGAGCCAGAAGTCTAAGGAACAGCATCGAAGACTCAGGTGAGGCTGAAGAGAGAAAAGAGTTATCAGTAGGTGTTTCACACAACACACCTCACCCTCTTCTGCAAGAGCTTGCCTCCACCCTTACCTCCACACCTTTGTTCCAGGATTAGCCTTTAAAAGCCACACTCAGCCCCTGAGGGTAGGTGTGCCCATGAGCAACAATCTAGGTCCAGAACTCTCAGAGCCTAAAAACTAACTCCTTCCCCACTCAGATGAGGAAGTAATGAACCCATAATTCTTCAAATTGTCATTAGTCATAAACCAGAGCCTCCTTGGTCAAGTCCAAAAGACATTAAAGAAAGGAACAAGGGAGTTCAGCAAGAGGAAAATACATGTCCAGATCACAAATCCCCCAGTGGCAGAGCTGGGGCCACATTCTTCCTGTAGGTAATGGTCACATGCATGACTGTAGAACTACTTTTAATCTCCTACATGACACCTTTATTGTGAGGTCTCATAGGACACATCAAACATCAATGTGTTCAAAATCTAAAGGAGGGGACCTCCCTGGTGGCACAGGAAAGCCTCAGCACAATTAACTGATCATCAGCCACTGTAGCATGAGTTCAATCCCCCCACCAGAGGAGCTAATCCACATGGTGTAGCAAACCTCTCCTGTCTTACCCACTGCTCCCCTCTGCAGTGTATTTCTATAGATCTACCTGTTTTGCTCCCCACTCTGTCTCTGGTGAGTCCACTCACAACCTGCACACTTCTGGCCTACACCCCAGTTCTATATGCATAAATAATCTTTTTTTTTTTTTTTTTTTAAGAGGTTTAACAGTCTTGTCTCTTCCTTCCCAATACCCATTTCTTTATCTAATTGTATAGGCTAGGATCACCAGAATAATGTTAATAGGCATTGGTGACTATGGACAATTCTGCCTGATTTTATGGCTGTTGCTTAACTTTCACTATTAAATACATTTGTTGTAGAGTTTTAGTAGGTATCAATTATCAGCTTACAGAAATGTATTTCTGTTCTGAGATTGCTAGTTTTTTGCTATATTCTTTAATTAAACAATTAGTTTGTATAAGTACTATTTTCTGGATGAGATCCTATGTTCCAAAGGGCAGGGAGAGTATATTTTAACTAGTCCTATCATCTGGTACATAGGTGCTTAAAACAAAACAAAACAAAACAAAACAAAACACAAAAACCACTGATATACTACTTTCCTATTCAGAACCTTTCAAATGCTCTCTAATGCAGGTAATAGAGCTTTTCAGTGTGGATCCCAAATTGACCCCATCAGAAAGTCCCAAGAGAAACTTACTTAAAAACCACACATGGCTGGATCCCATTCTAAACTTGGGGAGTCAACATCTGAGGGTGACACTATAAGTCTATGTTAACAGCCTCCCAATATATATGAAAGCTCAAAAGTACAGGCTTAAGTCAACACTTGAACAGGCTGAGTCTACAACAAACTGGAACACACCTTTGTATCCTTCACAACCCATCTGTGTTTTTCAGGAGCTTCCTAATCCATCTAGGTATATTCAAAAGCCTACTAATTCCCAGAAGCCCAGAATAAGTGACCTATCCTTTAAGAAACTGTCTTTGATCCCAGAAAGTGTCTCACGGGAGTTTCCCAAGCTACTTATGGTCCCTTTGCTTTCTCTTTTGAAGGAACTTAAGAGTTCTGTGTGGTCACATTTTCTCTACCCTGCTATAACTGAGTCCTGCTGAGGCAGGACAGAGGAAAGAACAAGCTACCTGAAAACCCCACACAAAGTCTTGTCTCTAAGGATCAATGAACATGAAGCAAATGAATGAAGGGTAATGAGGGTTATTTTGCTGAAGTAGGAAGTCTATTACTTGGATGTGTTCTACTTTGGGGGTTCTATTTTCATAAAGACTCCTGTGCTACTGAGTGTGACATGCTTTGAAGGGGTCCTCAGTAGAGGAGAGTTGAATATCTAATACCCACTGATCTTCCAAAGGAAGAGATTCTCAAGTCTTACACTGAGGATCTCCAGGACTAGGAGGTAATAAGCCACTTTTTTCTTTAATCCACAAAAACTCAGATGACTGTGACTTTAATGCAACTCCTACTTTACCCCCCACCAAATCCCATGCTCATCTAAGGCTTAGTTACTAACAGCTAACTGTCCACCTTTCATCAGTAACCAGTTCTTTTCTGGCTCTGGGCTGGCTCTGGAGACAGTGATATATAGACAGGTACAAACTACAAAACAATGTGGTCTGTGATGAAGTAAGACAGACCAGAGGGAAGCTCTGCTCAGAGAGGATACTGGGACAAGTCTTCAAAGATGAAGATGAGCAGATACTCAGCAAAAAATGCTTTGTAGTATGTGAATATGCCCTCACAGGCAAGCGAGGCTACTAGTTTGAATAGCGTATAGTTCCATTCCAAGTGTGCATCTCCTTCCCTTCCTTCAAGTGGCAAAAAAGAGTGATACCTGTCAATGAGGGAATCCCGCATGCTGGTGGCAATGGTGCTGGGCTGGGCTTCATTTAGCTTGAAGACACTCTCTACTACTGACAGCTCTGTGCTGGTTGTGTCCAGGCCACAAAAGGCACACCAGTCGTTCACCACCATCCCAGCAGCAATCACCTCGCTGCCTCGGTTCACAGTGCCTGCCTGCAAAAGAATGGATGGGCTCAGTATGGATGGTGGCACTAAGCCAAAGTCTCTCCTTTCTGATGTGGACTCTCCCCAAAATTCTGTTTTGAGACCTCTAGTCCCAATCCCAAAACATACCAGGTAATAACTCAGATTCCTGAACACTAGCCAAAGGAGTCTGCTTCAACAGAAGATAGAAACCCATGGACAGAAATGCTTACCACAAGCGGAACCTGGAGAAGAGAAGACAGCTCATCCTGGTCTTCAATTGAAGTCTTGGGATGTACCAGCCCACCCTGATTGCTGAAGACACAGTAGCTTCCTACTAGCACCTGGTCAGCCACTGTCTGTCTGAAGACTTCCACCTTGAGCACATCTGCCAGGATTTCTTCTGTCTCCTGTCAGGCAGAAATATCATGTTTAAAGTCTAGAACTTGTAGGTTAGAGAATCAGAGGCTTTCCATACCCAGAACAACCCAAGGCTTGACTCCCCAAGTCCCTTATCCCTGTGCTATGTAGCTGCATAGGAAAGCCTTCCTCAGTAAAAGTAGGGGGAGGAAAGCCAGCTATGGAGCCCCTAAAATCCACACATGCCCTGAATAAATAGGGACTGGTTTCTACTTCAACCTCTTCCCATTAACCACACATTTAAGCATTCAAATACCAGTCATGTCTCCTGGACCTGGCTGTACGACTAGATGAGTGAATCTCCCCAGTTCCAAGGGGAGAACACCCTTCCCACCCCAGTTTCTTTCTGACAATGACCATACCCTGGAAGGCCCCTCTTATCAATATTCAAATGAGTACCTGAAAAGGGAAGCCACAAGACATAAACCCTTAAATCCCACCTGATAGGCAAGAATGGCTAGCCAATGACTAGGCTGGTCCTCACCCTGTCTAGGTCTGGGTGGATCAAGGCCACGTAGTCATTGCAGGTGGTAACATTTCCCAGGGCTGAAAGTCGCTCTTCTACCCGCCGGATCTGAACTGAATCTGGCAGGCAGTTACGAATGTGTTGCAGCTCCTGGTCGGTGGTATTGTTGGGCACAAGGAGACCATGTCTGTTCCCTGGAGAGACCCAAATTGTCAGGAGGACAGGAGGCAAGATGGGACCATGAATACAAAGATGTCTGCTAAGTCCTAGGGGTAAGCATACAGCTCAGTGCAATGAACTTCCCTGAAAAAGCTGTTACCTCCAAGGGGAATCCATACACTCAGGAGGGAATCCCACTGGGCAGGCCCAGAAGTGGCCTAAGAATCTGTCCCAACATATCTTGCCCACTTTGCTATCATCAACCAAGGGGGAGCAGGAGTAGCAGAAGTATTTCTTGGCATTAGTTGTATATGCTACCACTACACACCTACCAGAATGGCTAACATTTTTAAAAGGACATCAATTTCAAATGTTGATAAAGCTATACAACAACTGAAATTCTCATGTACTCTGACAGCAATGTAAACTGGTTAAACACTTCAAATAATAATCTGGGATCTTCTATCACACTGGATATTCACATATACTATAACCAATCCACTATTCCCCTAGATATTACACATTTAAGAGAAATATGTACATGTGTTCTCTAAAAAGAAATACAGCAGCAAACAGATCAAACCAAAAACCACCCACTGCCCACTGTCAACAGATGACTAATACACTATAAGTTTATTTACCTGAAACGTAACTGCAAGAATAAACAAACTACAACTATGTTCTGATCACGAACAGAACTTTGCCTACTTCTGCAAAGACATAGCTCTGAACTTATAAACTCTGAATAACGCCCATCATTAAGAGGAAAAAGAAAAAAAAAAAATCCATCAGAGCCAGGCTACATTCTCCCTTATGATGGTTAGGACTTAAGAGTGATTCACCTGAAAATACTCCACCAACCAATGTTATTATCAGTGATGGGAAGTGATTCCCCATACTGCAATTCGTGTAGTGAAGTGTCCAAGAACGTTTAAGCAGGATGCTTCTAAAAATGCTACACACCCACCAAAATGTAGATCAAGATCACCATGTTTAAGATTTAAAAAACAAAACAAAAACTCACTCCTAAGGAGCTGAGCTGAATAAAGGGATGGCAGTAAATGGTGATAATCCCAGCTCAAAGAAAAGGCCAATGGCTAGAGCCAACAGTCCTGAAAACTAAGGATTAGGAGAGGGATGCCACTTAGAAACGTGGTAAAGGGAATTTAAGATTTCAATGAATTAACTTATCAGGACCAACAGAACCCTGTCATCTTTTTAATATAATAGTTTATTTTTACATCATTTTGTGCCTTTTTCCATCTCAGTTGTAATCTCAGTGGGCCTGCCATCACCAGAGTCCAGTGCACTCCCGCCCCCCACCCCATTTTGATCCCATTCCCTATTCCACATAAAATGTCTCTGGTATAAGGTTGAAACCTTGTCATTTTTCAAAGGCAGAAATGGATGCTCAGGAACAGGAAAGTACTTGCCCAGAGTCAGCGGCAGAGAGAAGACAGGTCGATCCTCCCTCACACTAGGTGTGGCACCTGGTGAGTCACTTAAGCTCTCCCTGTCTCAGCTTTCTCACCGAATTAGGCCAGTAATTCTGACCTCCCTGAATCTTCGTGAGGAAGAAATGAGAACAAGTATAAGAGTGAAAGTACTTAATATAATTTGTTATTACTACAATCCAAAAGACCTCGCCAGAGACTGTCCTTGATCTGCTGACACTTAAGAAGAGAAGGTCCAACCCAGCCCTCAGAGATCCTGTAGTCACCGCAGATAATGGGTGAAAGCCTAGAAATCCCCAGGTTACTCGGGCCAGGTCCAAAGGTATGATGAGTAAGACAGGAGAGTCCAACTCCAGTCCCTCCCTCCACGTCTCCCACCTGCCTTACCCACACATAAGCGCCCGATGATGCGACAGCCGGCGATGGACGCGTGTACCACGGGGATGGTGTCCGCGAGCTCACCCTCGAACACACTGTGGAGACATGAATTCAGTGGTCACGGGCGGGGAGGGGGGTTAGAGGGCGAAGCCCTCGCTCTGCCGGAGTCCCAACCCCTCAGGATCCTTCCCGCCACCCACCCACAAACTGTTCGCGGCGCCGGGGCTCCCGCCGCACCTGTAGAAGTTTTCTGAGCCTCCGATGGCCACCAGGCAGTAGGTGTTGGTGAGTTTGGCAAAGCAGCCGATCTCACAGTTGTTCTCGAACGACGCTCGGACCGCCATGAGGCCTGGGGGTGCGTGACCCGGAGTTCAGGGCCGGCGAGCCTCTCAGAGCCTCAAGGCCCCGCCGCCACCCCGCTCCTCCGGTCTTGGCCCCTCAGACCTCGCGTCCCGCCCACTGGGTTCCTCCAGACTCCGCCGCCCCGAACCCTCGGGCCCCCGCCCCTCACGGCTCGGGGGCGCCCGGAGTTGACCCTGTCTTCCCGCTCCCCATAGGCTCACCAGGTAAACGCAATCTCCACGCGCGACAACAGCCGGGACTTGACCCTCTGGTTGCCCCGCTCACAGGTTCACAGAGCGATCGCAACCTCCCCACGCGGCTATAGACCCGACCCCGCCCCGCACGGACTTCCGCTTCCGCCTCCGCCCACGGAGACTTCCGGTGAGCCCCGCGCACCCAGCACGGTGGCGGCCATTCTAGCTCCAGTCTGGGGAGGATTCCAGCTTCCTCGAGGTCTGGCTCCACCCTGCCTGGCCCCGCCTGGCCTCGCCCCAACACCCTCGGGAGCACCGTCGGTCTTTCCTTCAGTGGATCGTCTATAGACACACCCGCCCACCTACCCATCCATCCATCTATCCATCCAGAGTTGTTTAGGTGAAATCAACTGAGACCTGGTTGTGAGAAGGAAAAGGAGCTATTTACTGGAAGGCTGCGGCAGAAGAGCAGATGTAGGGAAGGTGACCTGCCCCTTGAGAGGTGCAGTCAAGATCCCAGAGGAGAGTGAAGGACGGAGGAATGAGAACTGAGGCTGAAACGGGTGTGGGTTGGGATGGGGGATGAGTGAGGGTATTCTCTATCGAGAATGTGCTCAGAAGGGCACGGTTATTCAGACAGAAGCTGAAGGAGGCATCAGAGGAGACCTGATTGAAGAAGGGATTGGAGAGGGGTGGATGGATGAAGCAGGGTCTCAGGTTGTGGTTGGAATGTGAGTGTCCAGATCCAGAGGGCAAGGGTCTGGGGTGGGGGGTGGGGGCTGACAGTTCCATTCTGTGCCTCTTGCATGTGCCTGACCATGCACACAGCAGCAGTAATCTTCTATCACAGGTTAGGTGGTGATGGTCAAGGGACTGGCCCTTGTGGATGTGATGAAATTGGCCCACATTTTGTAGACTCCACAAAAGCCCCAGGGTTTCTCTCTCCCCACCCCTCCACACACACACAGAGCCATCCACTCTTCTCCTGGGAGCCATCCATGTGACAAGTGCCTTCTTTTACCCCCAACTCTGCCAACTCTCTTAAGAATACACCAGGCTGCTGCAGGGTCATAGCATGTCTGCTTTATTGATTATACTGCCCCAGGAGGTGGTGAACTCAGGAAAGGGCCCACAGCCTTTCAATGCTGGTGATTTAGGGACACTCAGCAAAGTGCTGTGTGTATGTGTTTGCGCTTCTGGGTATTCACTCAGCAAAGTGGTGTGTGTGTATGTGTGTGTGTGTGTGTGTGTGTGTGTGTGTGTGTTTTCACGCTTCTGTGTATCCACACCCTCTGGTGTATCCTACCGCAGGCTTTCCTGGTTCCCTCTACCAGAATTCCTCTAACTCCTCCACCTGTCCAAATCCTTCCCATCCTTTAAGTTCTGACTCCAATGCTGCCTCCTCTAAGGAACTTTCCTCATCACCTCACTGCCCCCAGACTCTGTCCTCTGGTCACTGGTACCCTTTGATCAAACAAAGGAGCTCTGTCCTGCTCCCAGCGGTTTACACATGGAGTCCTTGTCTCACAGGGACTGAATGTGATTCATTACTCAGCCTTATAACATACCCGGCACAGGGCTGGGCTCACAGCTTAGGTTCAAGATACTGGTTGGCGTTGTCAGTGTCTGTGTATGTGGATGTGTGCATATTTATAATCCGGGTCCTGCAGGGTCTACAGTGTGCACTGAATGCACAGATTTTGTATACATGTTCATTTAATCAGATGACATTTACTGAGTACCCATAACTAGAATCAAGTGTTTCGGTTTATCACATGGACCTGTGTGCACCTATGGTGTGCATCTATGGGTGTGCAGTTTGTATGAATCCTGTCAGTGTGTTGTGGACACACATGTTCAGGCATTTGGGACATCTCTGCTAGTGTGTATTTTGTGCACTTGGAGACACATGAACTCTGGATATTGTGTGTTATATCCACAAAAACACAATCTTAAGATTCAGAGAGAGAAAGGTTTGAACCTCTCCTCTGCCACTTACTTAGACCTGATTCCAAGTAACTCCTCCAGACTCTTAACATGTGCATGACCACTCACTCAGTTTCCACATATGTAGGAGAGGGAAGATAATACCTATGATCTGAGTGATATACTAACTAGTCTTTTCTGTAGGATGCTGTGAAGCTGAAAGATGAGAAATAATCAGTGTGAGGTACCCAGCAGAGTGCCAAATGGCAAGTGCCCAGTAACTGTGGGTTTCATTTCCTTCTGTGTGTGTGTGCATGTATGTGTGTGCATGTGCATGGGTGTGAGCAAGAATCCTGAGCCTAGGAGTGCCTTACCTGGGCTTCTAAACACACTGTCATCCTCACGTAGCTCCCTGCTAGAGCATCCACCCACAGTCTAGAATCTGAGCAAGTCTAGAGTGTCTGATGCAGAAGACTCTGAATGTCCCTGCTGAGAACAGGACTATGACTCAAAGCGGCTTCGGAGTAGCTTGAACTTCGACTTGTTGTACTTAGTGATGAGGTCCAGTTTGCTGTGGCCCAGGGTCCGCCGTTTCTCATCCCCAAGCAGGCCATTGCTACCGCCACTGCGGTGGCCACCTGTGGGCCCTGCAGGGAACCCAGGCTCAGATCCCTGCCTGGTGCCCTGCAACTGATGATACTTGGTGATGAGGTCCAGCTTGCTGTGGCCCAGGGTCAGCCACTTCTCATCCCCAGAACTCACTGTAGCCTTTTGAACAGGGCTCAGTCTGGGGAGACCATTGGGCCCCGGCCCCTCACCACGGAATGGGCCAAATTTTGTGATGAGGTCCAGCTGGCTATGGCCCAGAGTTTGCTGTCGCTCATCTGAACCCAGTTTGCCGGGTCTGGTTGAAGAGTTGGCTTCGGAGGACACTTTGGAGCCCCCAGGCTTGGGGTACTGCACCAGGAGGTCCAATTGGCCATGGCTGTGATTTGGGGGTAGCCTTTTGTCCTCTGGAGTGTGATCACCAGGTCTGGAGGAACCTGACTTAAGGGCATCCCCAGTGTTCTGGGCCTGGGGCAAGAGATCCAGCTGGCTGTATCTCTGACTTGGGGACAACCTCCTGTCCTCTAGGGCCTGCTCACCAGATCGAAAGGAGCCAGAGTTGAGGTTAATACCAGAACCAGGGCCCCCTGTTTCTCGGGCTCTGGGAAAGGGGATGAGGAGATCCAGTTGGCCATGGCTCTGACTCAGAGACACTTTCTTCTCCTCCACCATTTCCAGGGCTGTGCCAGGTATCCAGCGACCTCGTGAGGGGCTAGGCTCCTGGCCTCCTGGGAGCCCGTTCTCCGGAAGCCGGGCCAAGGCTGGGACACCCCGAGAGAAGGAGAGAAGGGGGCGAGGACGAGGAAACAGAGGTGATCCGACTGCCAGGGTCAGGGGGCTGGCATTATTCTGGTTGAGGGCAGGGGAGGATTGGGACCATGGGGATGCCCCCAGCTTGCCCAGGTTGGCCCTATAGGGCCCTGACGGAGAGCCATGGTTAGGGTCTGACAGCTGGCGTTGCAGAGAAGGCTGGCCATTGGCTTCACGGCGGACAGGCCCCTGGGATGAGGACCCTATACCCATGTCACTGCAGCCACCGGCTCCTGGTAGAGCGAGGTAGGAGGAACGGCCCGTGAGCGGTGAGCACTTGATGCTGCTGAGGCTGGTGCTGGAGGGCGATGAGGATGTGGGGCTTGAAATTCTGGGCCCAACGGCTAAGGCCACTGGGGGAGGGCACGGTGCTAGGGGAGACAGGGAGTCTTCACCACCACAGAAGCCCTCCACAGGTCGAGACTCAGCATAGAGACAACGGAACTCCCGGTCAAAGTCCTCCACGATGCGGCCCCTCAGCTGTAGCACCATGCTAGTGTGGGCCTGGCTGCAAAGCCAGGTGAAGCTAGAGGCAAAGGGATGGAGTCAGCAGGCAAGGCGCGGGAACCTGGGGGCTAGGCAGGAGTCACAGCAAGGAGGCTGACCAAATACCAGGTCCACTCCACCACCACCAGGATTCAAGAGTGGGCAGAGCTCTAACTCTAGAGCCCGCTAGTCCCGGCTCTGCTTTGTGGACTTGGGTAAGCTGTCTCCCGTTTCAAGGCCTCAACTTCCCATTCTGTGAATTAGACCAGGAGAAAGTCTCCCTGAAGTCCCTCCAATTCTGAGGGTGCACAGTTACTTCTATGTCATGGACGTTAAAGTAATCCTCTTACAATGTGAGCTCCTCCAGGCCCCGCCCGGGGCGCTCTTGCTCCCCGCAGAGCCCAGCACAATGCCTCATGCCTGGCAGCAGCCGGTGTGTGATGGAAGGGATGGAGGAATAAAGAAAAGTTCAAGGCTGCCAAATCCCAAGCCCTTCTCCCTTCCATTCACTGGCTCACCTGTAGCTTCCCGCCACCACCTGCTCACAGTCGATGATGACGAACTTCTCCAGGGCCTGCCCTGTGAAGCGGCGGCCTGCCTTGCTGCAGTACGTGTCCCCACACGTACTCCGCACTCGCATGTTCTGGACCAAGGAGGAAGGGAAGTTGAGGGTGACCCTGAGAGAATGGACCTCAAGCCAAGTCTAAACCCCATGGTGTCTTTAACCCAGAACAGCTAAACCTGATTCCCCCACTCCCAGTGACCCAGTGCCATTGACCACCCAGCAAACTTTTCTGCCCTTTCTGACTCTACTGTCCCCAGTTACTACCCCTTGCCCCTGGCTGACCGGCAAGTGTCCCCCATTGATGTCCATCTTGTAGCACATCTCAAGGAAGTGCTTCAGGTTCTCCTGGGCCAGGAGCATGTAGACGGGGACACCACGCCGGCTCGAAGCCTCCATGAGGTCACACAGAAGATCCATGTCAGTGAACACATCCATCACCACAGCCACCACCTGCAGGGAAAAGCAAGAGCCCTGGGTGGTGAGGAGGGCTTGGGATCCCAGAACAAGGACACTGGATGAAATCAGGAAGCCAGGGCCTGTGAGAACATCCAGAGTGGAAGGGCTTTGAGCAGTACTCAGCCTACACTTTTTTTTTTTTAAAGATTTATTTATTTATGCATACAGAACTGGGGTACAGGCCAGAGGTGCAAGGGTGGTGAGAGGACTCACCAGAGACAGAGTGGGGAGCAGAACAGGCAGATCAATAAAGTACACTGCTGAGTGGAGCAGTGGGCGGGTGAGATAGGAGAGGTCTGTCGTGCCACATGGGTCACCTCCGGGGCGGGGATCGAATTCATGCTGAAGTGGCGTTAGCTTCTTTGTGCTGTGCTTTAACCGCTGTGCCACCAGGGAGGGCCCAGCCTAGACTTCTTAACTTAGACACGGGGGGGTTCTGTTGTCTTGGGCCCATAGAATTTGTACACAAGTTTGTGCGATTTTCTGAGGGCAGTGTCTATCTGTGAACAAATTCTCAAAGGTGTCTGTGGATCAGCTCTATTAGTTTAAAGCTCCACTCAACATACAGGGAAACTGAGGCTTATGGGGGAATAGAGACAGAAGCAGGACACAGACCCCAATTCCCAGACTAGGTCTCTCACTTTCCCCTGTAGTTTTACCCTATTTCTGGTGGGGACTGTGGGTCTCAGTCTCCATTCTTAAGGATCAGAACTGCCCATCAGTAACTGGGGTCTTCAGTGCCCTTCACGAACCTGCCTGTGAAGGTGCAGGAGCAGGTACAATTCTGCCATCTTCCTCTCTTGCACCTATGCCAAGTACAACCAAGTTTTCTGCTAAATTGTGGGGCTGAGGCTTGTGCTCTACCCCTCATATACTGGGCTGCCCCAGAAAACGCTTGAACCCATCCTGGCACCACCAAGCCCTCAACAGCCCCTTCTTCCATTGCATGTATCTGCTATGAAAACCTCCCAGTTCAGAAAAGAAGAGCACAGCAAATCCCACCCTCTCCGAACCCAGATAGAACTGGGCTGAACCTGCGTGGCTTCTTCCTAGCGATATGCCTTGGGCAAGTTGCTTCACCTCTGGGAATCTCAATTTCCTCATCTGTTAAATGGAGATAATGATAGCTACATCACAGAGCTATGGGGAATTAAATGTGAAAATACTCAACACACAACAGAAGCTTCAATAAATGGTCTTTTCCTGCTGCTGCCTCCTTAACAAAGGAGGACATTGGGTTGCAGAGAAAGGAAGCACTTCCCAAGGTCACTCCGACAGTAGGTGACAGCCTATAATGGAGGCCTGGCTTCTGGCCCAGAAGTGAGGGAGTGTCAAGGCAGGCACTGAAGGATACCCTAGACGACCACTAGGGATGGTGAGGGGAATGAGGAGATGGAGGAAAGATCAAAGAGGCAGGGGGCAGTGACGTCAGCCACAGCCACCTCACTAATAACCCCATTCCCAGTGCCAATCAGTCCTGGCCCTCCCCTGCCTGGGGCACAGGCAGGCTTGGCAGGGAAGCTCTGGAGGTACCAGTGGGATGGATCCCTGCATCCTGGCTCCTGATCTCTGCAGCAGGGGCCCTCCGGGTTGCTCCCCCAGACAGGGCATTGAGTCCAGCCCTACCTCAAATCCTGCCTGGGGTGATCTGATTCACTCCTGCCTTCTGACTCAGAGGTCAGGGCTCCAGGAATGGGGCTGTGCTAGTCTGTGGCTAGAGCCTTCCCCAGCACTGACCACCCCCACCTGCTCTCCTGCTTTCTCCTAAATCCTCACTCCCCAGCCTGTATCCTAGAGCATCTACTCCTTTCTTTTGGAGCAGAGCTAAAAGCCCAGCCCTCAAAACTCTGTTGAAGCCCATCCCCCCTTCCCTGATTTAAGCCTAGCTGGAGATGCAGTCCACAGGAGGTAAAAGGGGACATGGGCCAAGAGGCAGGGCCTTACTTAAGGCTCAGGGCCTGAGCCCTGAGCTATATTTCATCAATTGACTGACCTCCCTGAACATGTACCAGCCCCTTCCTGGCCTCAGTTTCCTTCTGTGAGTTGGGGGATGGTGCAGATGTGCCCCAAGTTTAGGATTTTAGTTTGGGGTCACGCACATTTTTGAGAATCTGATGAATGCCATGGCTTAGCTCCCATGAAACAGCCAGAGAAGATCTTTTCCTGCAATAAACATGACTTTGCATGCACTTCCAGGGCATTTGAGGAATCCCTAAGGCCCATCCGGTTTTGACTTATCGGCAATGTCTTAGAGTACCAAGGGGTTACTAAAGTAAACAAAAACACTCCCACCTCGTAGGAGCTTGTGATTTGGTAGATGGCAGAGGTTCTAGTCCCAATACTGCCTCTAAACTACCGTGGAGCCTTAGGCTGATCCCTTTCCCATCTCGGACCTCCTTTTCCATATCTGTGAAATGAATGTCTGAAGAGATGAGCCCTTACCGTGCGTGCCTGGCTGAAGAGGAAACGCAGGAGGTCTTTGATGTTCTTGGCTTTGTCCCGCTGAAAGTGGACCACAGCTTGGGTGGGGCTGAAGCCAGTGGCCTGTGGAACCTCAGGCCAGCCCAAGTCCAGGTCCGGGGGGTCTATGTCTGAGGCCATGGGGAAGTAAGTCCCCGAGGTGACTTCAGAGAGCAGGCTGAGATGATCTGGCCCTGAAGCCTCTGGCCCCTGGCTCTCGCCCAACTCAGGGCCTCCACGTACATGACTGATCATGTAGTCCATATCCAAGGCACTCAGGAAAGGCAGCTCCCGCTCCTCAGAGATGACACGCAGGTAGGCAGCCTCACCCCGCTCCAGGAGGGCATCAGCTGCCAGCCTAGCCGCTTCACTGTGCTGCAGCACAAGTGGAGAGCTTTCCCGCCACCATGGCCGTTTGAGCTCCTCCACCCTGCCCCGCAGGGACCCGGCCATGCCCTGGGCCCCCAGGCCCCCAGGCCCTAGGCCTGCAAACATGCCTCCTCACCTGGCTGCCCTCACCCACCAGCGGGCCCCATGGCCTGCATCCCCAGTTGGCTGCTGCAGGAAAAAGATGTAGCAGAACCGCCTCCTGCTAACCTACCTAGTATGTGGCAGGGCCCCCAATCCGTTGCCACCCTAATTCAGTCATGCTCCGCCCCATCGCCCCTGGCCTCAGGAACCTGTCAGGTCAGCCTCACCTGTCTGCCTGCTGTTGGGACTCGCCCGCCCAGGGAAGCAGCAGAGTTAGGTCCTCAGAACACTCCTACCTCCCTCCTCTCACTGGGCTTCCCCAGCTTCACGTGCCCCATCAGGCACCTAAGCAAGTTTCCTCCTAACTTCCCAAAGTCCCCATGGAGAGTGAATAATGGGCTGCCCAAGGACACATGTGTGATCATGTACGTGTGCACACACCAGGGTGGACGAGAGTAACTTGACACAGACATGTGAACACACAAGTAGACGGACTTAGTTGCCAGACACAAGCACGGATTACAGGTTGATCTTCACAGACCACACACTTTGATTAAATGCACAGAAACCGACCCAAATAGAAACTGACCACAAGCCCAGACATACCATGAGGGTACTGCAAGCCTTGCACACTGGCTCCAAATAAGAACTGAGTGACCATGAGACAGGACTGCCAAGAACATCAATACCTGCCTGTCCCCCCTTCCAGACCTCTCTCTGCTCCCAAAATGACCCTGCCACTCTCTACCTCCAGAACTGTGGCCCTCACACTGCCCACCCCACCCCACCTCCGCAACCCTCCAAGGGTCTGGATCTCAACCCCCCAGAATAACTGGGAAGTGTTAAAATGCACATCCCCAGCTCCACCCACCTGATACTCTATCTAGAAGGTCTGACTAGGTTTCTGGAGGCTGCCTTCTTAACAAGTGCCCTGGTCTTCCGGGGCCCACAGGCTGGGGCCCACAGGCTGAGGCCCACCTGAGAAATGCTATTCTAGATGGCTGCGCTCCAATGTCCTCTCAATCCAGGGATACTGTTGGCTTAATGTGGATCAGACCCCAGTTTCCTCCCCTCCTCAGGGCAGAGTATTCAATGGTTGTTTCAGAGGGTGGGTGGGGGACACTCAGGAGGCAAATAGGGCAGGCAGGTTTCTGTGCCCTGTCTGGCAGTAAGGTAAAAGTTGCAGAAGAGGGGTGTCAACAGGTGGTAGCTGGGGAGGCAGCTAGTGGTCACAAGTGAATAGTGCCAGCTTGAGGCATCACCTTTCCAAGGAGGGACAAGGGCCGCTGAGGATGGAGAGCGGGAGACCTATCACTAGGACTCATTACCCTGCTGGGCTCTGACTGTACATAGTTTATTTGGTCTGTGATCATGTCCAGACCTGATACAGGTTCTTCTAATGTCCAGACCCTCACAGGGGACCCAACATATGCATGGAGGTGAGGAATGAACTTTGAGAGTTCCTGCATTGAGCTGGGTCCTGGGGCCAAAGATGCATGGGCTGTGACTTGGGGGCATCTACATGTAAGGTGGTGGGGGTAGTAGGAGAGACCATGGGACAAGGGCTGGGCCAGTCCATCTCACCCCAGGGGCAGGAGCAGAAACAGGCTGCAGGAGGCGCTTCTTGGGGTGGGGGGCCTGCACAAGGTGCAGGGGTTGAGTAAGCAGTCAGACGTGGGAGGGTAATGAGCTGTGTGGGTAGCTGAGGTGGCAAGGCCTTCATCAGGGCCTTATCTCCAGATTTGCTTAAGCAGAGAATCAGGACCTCAGGGACGGTGAAGTGTTTTGGGAGGGCCCCTATTTCTGTGTGGAGTTCCTGTGTTTATTCTGTGTTTGTGTCCATCTATTAGGTGGGACATATTCTTGGCTTTCTTTTGAAAAGAAACTTCTAAATGTGGTAAAATACACTAAATTTTAGCCATTTTAAAGTGTACAGCTCAGTGTTATTAGGCACACACATTGCTGTGCAACCATCACCACATCCTTCTCCAGAATTCTTTTCATCTTGAGAACTACAACTCTATACTCATTAACTCTTTCCCCTTCTCTGCCCTGGTGCCCTCCATTCCACTGTCTCTACAAATGACCACTCCAGGTATCTCACTTGTAGAATCTTCCAGGGTTTTTTGTGACTGGTTTATTTCACTTAGCAAGGTCCATCCATCCAACCCTGTCTGTGACAGGGTTTCTTTCCTTTTTAATAAAGGATAGTGAACGATCTCCCACTGATGGACACTTGGGTTGTTCCTAACTTTTGAGTATTGTAAATGCTGTTTGAATATAGGTATACAAATTCTACTCTGTTTTTGTATATTTCCCTCCATGCCCACATTTGTATTGGATTCCATTTTTGTTGTAAAAATCCTATAAATAGTGGCAACTTCATCTCAGTATAGATATGCATATACTATGCATAACTGTACCTGTATAGACATGTACATACTATATGTGCTATTTGTGTATGTGTGTTTTCTAAATAACTTTTCATTGAAAGGAATTTTTTTTTTGAAAGGAATTTTTTTTTAACTTTTTCATAGAACAACTAGGGAGTGGCCCTCCCTGGTGGCGCGACAGGTTAAAGCACAGCACTACAAAACTAGACACAGCCACTTCAGCAGGAGTTCAAGCCCCAGCCAGGGTAATGACCCACATGGCATGGACCTCTCCTGTCTCACCTGCTGCTCCACTCAGTAGTGTACATTGTCAACTGGCCTGTTCTGCTCCCCACTCTGTTTTTGGTGAATCCTCTCACTAACCCTGAACCTCTGGCCTATACCCCAGTTCTGTATGCATAAACAGATAAATCTTTAAAAAAAGGAAAAAAAGAACTAGGGAGTAGACCAGAGGTGTGGGTGTGTGAGAGGATTCACCAGAGACAGAGTGGGGAGCAGAACAGGCAGACTGACAAACTGCCAAGGGGAGCAACGGGGAAAACAGGAGAGGTCTGCTCTCTGGCCAGAGATTGAACTCAGGCTATAGCAGTAATAGTGCCAAGTCTTAATCTAGGCCACCAGATTGTGTGTCGGCTTGACTTTAAGTATCCAGTCACACACCAGTGTACATGTACCTTTTGTATTCAAGCCTGTGTGCTTCTGTGCCCGCAATGCATGTGTACCTAAGTGTCCTCATGTGTGCACATCTGGGTATAGATCTCTTTGTGCACAGGTGTCTGAGCAGTGGGAATGGTCTTGACAATTCAAGCTGTGTTTGTGTACAAGGGAGAGCAATTGAAAGAGGCAGGCAATGGAAGGCTAAGCTGAAGGAAAAAGGGCTCAATCTCTGACATCTTGGTACTAAAAGCATGTAAAATTAAGTCAAATCTCCTTTGGTTGCAGGACTGGCAGCCCCTCCTGTCCCAATGCACTGAGTGGATAAAGGGCATGTAAGGGTGAATGGGTGGATTATGGCCTTGGGGCTCAGCCTAGAGGTGGGGGCCCAGAGTGATAGGAGCCCCAGATAGTACAGCCCAGACCCTGACTGCAGAGTGTTCAGCACAGGCCCTTTAATCACTATTATTAAGAGGAAGAAAAATATTTTCCTGTCCAGAAGGTGTGTCAGGCACCTGCCTGGCCGCATTCTGGCATCCTGGGGGCTATTTAGCCTTGTTCTTTTGTTTCGAACACACCAAGTGTCACCTTGATAGGTGACTGTTGTGTGGGGGTGGTGGGAGCAGAGACTGGGCTGCAGCCCTCCAGTTGCATGTCACTCTGATGCCAATACTGCCATATAGCTTAATGTGGCATCCCTGGAGAGGTGGAGAAAGGACTCTTGGGGTGGAGCAGCTAGGCCAGTAGGGGAGGCAGAATGTACCCCAATCTCTTGAATCAGGGTCAAGCTATCTCAGTAGGAGAGATTCAGGGACAAATGATAAGGGCTTCCAGTTTGGATCAAGCTGGGTATTAAGGAATGAGAAAGATTTCAAGATGTACAGAATGGTAAGTAGGGTGTTCAGTGCTGGACTAGAGGACACGCCTACTGAAGGCTGTGGTGCAGCAAGAGGCCTGAGGAAGACCACCCTCTGAAGAGGCCTGACTACTCAGAGGTCATGAAGATTCCCAGAGAGCCATTTTAGGATAATTTTGGGAACAGTTCCCCAGGGTATTAGTGCTCAAATCCTTTGAGGGGAGCAGCGGGGAAACAGGAGGGATCTGCTCCCTGGCCAGGGACTGAACTCGGGACATAGCCATGATAGTGTGGACTCTTAACCTAGGCCACCTGGGAGGCCCCTTGTGTGTCTGCTTGACTTTTAAGTATCTAGTCACACATCAGTGTACACGTACCTTTTGCATTCAAGCCTGTGTGCCTGTGTACCTGCAGTGTATGTGTACCTATGTGTCCTCAGAAGGGTGTTGTTCAGTTTTGAGCACCAGAGACTTTGAGGGGGGACCCACTGGTTCTGGCACCTATGGGACCAATGGGTGGGAAGAATAAGCACAACTCTGAACCACAAGGTATTAATCTGTAAAATGGGACCAACACCACTTCCTTCACCAGGCTGTTGAGGAATAAATGGGCTACTCCATGTCAGGTACTAGGAGGATATTAATGGTAGCTTGGTACATGTTGACATCCAAAGCTCTTCTGGCCATGAGAGGAGGAGGGCTCAGCAAAGGCCTGAAGACAAATGAGGCAGCGACCAGAACAGCTACTATTGGTCAGTTTCTGGCCTCTTCTGGATCAGAGACTGGGGGCAAACGTGGGCTGTGCCAGTGCAGTGTGGCTCTGACACTTGGCCTCCTCTCAGCTCACAGGAGGCAAGATCTGCTGTCCATTCATCATACACAGATGTTTTTACATCATGTAGAAACATAAGAGTTTTTGCATTCTATTTTGGAAAAAGTGGCTGTGCATGGGTTTAGACGTCGACATTGATTGTGGGTTTCACCTCTTCTCATATCTCAAGTGTTAGTGGGGGACAAGTTGCCCTTAGGTTTCCATAGGGAGGGAATTCCCACCCCACTCTCAGGGAGACCACTCATTTTTCTGCCTCTTCACTCCATACCCAGAGGAGGAGGATTAGTTGT